GGCACCCCAAGACAACATCTTTCATCTTCAAAAGTATTTCCCAGCCAAGTGAATTTGATGAATCATCCCCTGAAATCTGTTTCCATTATTTTCACTAAGGATGAAAATAGAAAGTTTTATTCCCATTGCCCAAGTAGATGCTGATTTTCTCTATTAATAAGAACTCATGACTAGACAATCCTAATTTTCAACAAAACAGATAAACCTTCATAAATAAAGGCTGGGCTTTAAGAAAGCAGACCATTTTACATGAAGCCAATAGTCCTGCCCCAAAAGCTCATTCATTCCTCCAAGCTGTATTTATTGAGCACCTCTTCTGAGTATTCTGCTTGATGGATGGACGGGGAATTCAAGAAATCTGGTCCATGATCATTGGCCTCTGAAAGCTAGCTATCTGATGGGACATGAATGAGACATAAACACAAATCATTTGAGATGGGGAGATAGCCAGTACTATGCGAATGGTACAAAAAATAAGTAAAATGCACTTGTACAGGGAAGAGGCCATTTCGGAGAACAGAAAAAGAACAGAAAAGAAAGAACAGAAAATTTAAAAGAAAAAAAAAAACAACCTTTATGGACCAGAGCACACTTGAACTGGGCTTGTAAAAATGGCTCTTGGTAGACAAAGTGGACGAAAATCGCCTGAGTAGAAGCTCAAAGAGGATGGCAAAACGCAGATTCCAAGAACAGCAAATGGACCAGCTTGGCCCTCGTGGGAAATGTAGCTAAAAGTCAGCGTATGCGAGGTTCACTGTGGGAGACAAAGTAACCTCGCCAATAAATAAAGACCAATAACCTCGCTTTATTCTTTGGCTCCCTGTTATCTGCTACAGAATAAGCAGTTCCTTATTCTGCTCTTCAAGGGCAGCCATGATCATTACCTTTTTGTGGCTTGCGGACATACTAGAAAGGCTGCTTACAAAATGGAAGGTTCCTTTTCCTCCCGCCATGCCGAGACGGTTTGAACTTAGTGTGTTTTAGCTATTGAATGAATGAAATAGAATTACGTTCTGTTTCAAAATTCTGTAACATCTGGAATTAACTCTGTTCCAGGAACCACACAGTTTAACAGGGCAGACAGGCAAAGGGGAGGCCCTGAGTTCAGGTTTGGAGCAGACGCCCGGGGGCTTGGAAGCAAGGCCTCAGGGCCCAGGCGACTGTCCGGGAGGCCAGTGAGCATAGGCCCAGCAGCCCAGGCCTGAGGCCTTGTGAGGCTCCGCTGTGTCTCATGTCACTCTAGCTAGTTGCTTTTGCCTTCCAAGGTGATGAAGGTACCAGAGTAGCAAAATAGAGGACACATGAGAACGGAATAACTAGTCGAAAATCAAAGTGTAAGAGCTAAAGGGAGTGTTTTCTGGTTGCCACACATTAAATTTTTTCATATAACTATATTGGCATAAAGAATAATTCCTGGGTACATTCCATTTGTCCTTTGTTTCCTCCCTTGTATGATTATATGATTATTGATGTCATTAAAAGTGCATTCATCAGACCTGGCTGTCAGAGAGTTGCACTTATTTTGTGCCCACAAGCAGTTTTGAGGTAAATCTCTTGCTTTAGGGCATTAGTTGATCAATACAGACATCTATAGTGAGGTATTGTTTCCCACCTCCTGCATGACTCCATTTTCCTAAGACATTCTGGGGATCTGGTCTTCCTTTCAATAAGAAGTCACTCTAGATGGGATGGGGAGACCCAGGAGAAGGTACCCTACAAAAGAACATTTCTTCTGCAGTCCCCTGCCTTTGCAGGAGGGGCAGCTGGTCCAGGGAGAGGCGTTGAAAAGAAATATGCCAACTGCCTGTCACCCCCAGCTCTATAATTTCCTTCAGGATAGTCTGTTTCCTTCCTGGGTTTTTGTCCGATCTCAAGTCCCATTTTTATCTTTGATATTTATAGGACCAACATTCTCGCAGTCCAAAGCCAAAACCTCCCCAGTATTGCCTCTAGTTACTTATAAGGAAGAATCTGTCTCATTAAATTCTGTATTTTGAAGACTTAGCACTGATAACACACTTGGCAATGGTCAGTATTGCTGAACTGAACTCCTAAAATGTGAGTTTAATGGTTTCTCCTCTGTTAAAATTTCCTTCTTGCCCTCCTTTCCTTTCCCACTTTCTCCTCCCATTCAGCCACAACTCTCTGCTGTCTCAATCCGCTCTGGGTTCATTCAGACACACCAGGTATTCGATTTCATCTTCTTGGAGCCTGGTCTGCCAGAACCTTCTTTTAACACCAAACTGACCTGATGTTCCTCTGCACCCAGTAAATAAGGAGACCCAGGGAGCTCACCTCATCATCCTGGAGATTTCCTTTCCTCTCTGTTTCTTGAATCCCACGAAGCCCTTTGGTTTGGTTTATGCTCTCCCTTTGGTCTTCTAGTACTTTCCTGAGAAAGGGTGTACGGGAAGTACGTACTCGCAGGCTTTGCATTTTGAACATAACTTATGTCTGTCCCTTAGTTGTTTAAGATGTAGACTTCTACATTGGAAATTATTTTTCCTCAGAAGTTTGAAGGTGTCACTCTATTTTTTCTTACTGTCTTGCATTGCTGATGAGAAGACTTATTACTGATCCTTTGTCTGTAACCTGTTTTTTGTCTCTGGAAGCTTTTACAATCCTCTTTGTTCCTGGGGTCCTGAGACTTCACCATGATCGGAGTCGGCAGTCTGCTTACAGTCACGGTGCTGGCATGAGACCAGAACCCGAGCCACAGGCCCTGGGCTCTCACCATTTGGGTTCAAGTCCCCTGCCACCGTTCTCTAACTTTCTTACCTCAGGCAAGCTACTCAACCTCTGTGCCTCAGTTTCTTCACCTTAAAATGGCTTAAAAAATAGTACCTACCTTGTAGGGCTGTTGTGAGAATTCAGTGAGTTATTATCTATAAAATGCTGAAGCCAGTGCCTGCCGCTTAGAACTACTCCATAAGCAACAGTTTTTATTCATATTTCAAATACAAAAAAAAAAAAAAAGTTTCCTCAACTTGTGCAACATTTCCTTGACCCTGTGCCTTGAATAGAAATCTTGGCCTTGAGACGGGGAGTGGCTACACAGAGGGAGAGGGTCTGGGTCTCAGATGTGAAATGAAATTTCAATAGGGCAAGTACGGTAAAGAACAAAGCGGATGCAAAAAAGCAAGAGGTGATTGTTATGGCTGCGGAAGCACCCCCAGACTCTGGATTCTCAGCTCAGGACTAGAGGAATAATAAGTAAAGAAAAAATAGAATCTCTGAAGAAATCTAGTCACCCCAAATTAGGACTCACATATGCTCCCTGAAAGGGTGTTTTCATTTTCTGATGCAAAAGGGACTATCAGGACAGAGATTCAGAATGAGAGTAAGAAGAACAGGAACATCTGTGTCTTTATGAGTGAGAGACATCTGCTGATACAGAAAGGCATCACCTAATTTCTGTACCAGGAAATCAAATAGATGTTGCCCTCCCGTCTAGGAACCTGAAATTTTAACATATAAAGAGTTTACAAACTTACACATAAAATCATCTATTAATAGGAATGGTAATTCAAGGTAACTAAAGAGCCCCAGTTAAAAAGGGGAAGCTCTACCTTACCAAATAGTGCCAAATAATACATTTGGAATGAAAAAAAAATTTAAATCATGATTTTGCGCCACTCTTATGAAATAACCAATTCAAAGATCATTAACAGAAGCTAAAACCACTAGTTGAAAGAGGATGGGAAAAGAGGTATGTACACAGTGCCAAAGTATTGTACATAGGATACTTATTACTTTATAGTGGAGGTCAACAGATGATCCCAGTAATTGAACAGCACATCACTAATTGTGAGACATGCTAACATGTGGATCCCGACATAATGAATTTGAAAAACGTATCATCATCTGTGAAATATACTTGCCAAAAATCATTACCCTGATTCTAATTAAACTTTTAATCTAAATTCCATCTTAGAGGACAGGGCAATGATACTGTGAGGAAAACATCAGGAGAGTCCAGTATGTGCCTTATCTTGGTCAAGGCAAAGTCTAAAGAAATGGCAAGGAGACTGGTCTAGATTATAAGAGATTTGAGATATAACGAAATGTAATGCATGATTCTTGATTAGATTTGGGTTGGAAAAGATATTTCCGGGATCACTGGAGAAATCTGAATATGGAATGAGCATTAGACATATTATGTAATCAGTGTTAATTCTGTTGGGTGTCATAGTAGTACTGAAGCTATGTAAGAAAATGTTCTTACTGGGGGAAATGCATGCTAAGGCATTTAGGGGTGGGGTCTCATGACGTAATTTGAAATGATTCGGCTGGATAAACAGATACGAAGCAGATACGACAAAATGTTAATTACTGCTGAGTCAAGATGGAAGGTTTGTGGATAACCATTGCTTTATTCCACTTTTCTGTTTGGAAATTTTATATTAAGAAGGTTAGGGAATTGGCTTGCAGATGCAAAATTGTATAAACCTGGCCTGACAGTGTTTTGGGAGAGGGAGGCATGCAGGGCTCAAAGGGCCACATTTCCGTTGGGCACACTGGAAGGAGCTTTGCTCTTTTGAATTCTGCAGAGCAATGGCGTGAGACAGTCATTCACTCCAGAATGTGAGAGAGTTTGGGAAGAATTAATGTACTTCCCAGAGTGCCCAAATTATTGTCAGGAATAATAACTCACTGGCAGCATCAGACTGAATAATTCATGGTACTAAAGCAATGGGAATGCTCACGTGTGGTGGTTGTTAGTTGGAATTTTCCCCCAAATTAAGTCACTTAAAAATTCTTTTACCTAAGGTATTTTGGGGATGTATTTTCTTTTCTTTCTTTCTTTTCTTTTCTTTTTTTTTTTTGGCCAAGTCTTTCTCCCAAACAACGTGAGGTAATTGTCCGTTTCACTCAGGTACAAATGTAAAGTTAAAATGCAGAACTGCTTCCTAAGAGGCTAAACTGTTCTTTAAAATGTTGTTGCTTAAGAAGGGAGTTGACTGCTCTAACCGGTTCCTCTGTTTCCCACATGATCTCAGGGAGCTGGACTGTGCCATGTTACGCCGCCTGGAGAAGAGGATACTGGTTGATCTCCCCAGTCGGGAGGCCAGGCAGGCCATGATCCACCACTGGCTGCCCCCCGTGAGCAAGAGCAGAGCCCTGGAGCTGCGCACGGAGCTGGATTACAGTGTGCTGAGCCGGGTAAGCTGCCTGGAGGGCGCACCTGCAGGCCAAGCAGCTGCCGCTTGAATCTTCTGAGCAGGGTTCTTGTGAGCTGGTTTGGGGCATATTCCTGGAGTCACTTAGAAAAGACTCGAGCTGCCCCAGCAATGCAATGCACCTCTCCTTCGTGAGTGAGCTCTCTGTTCCTCAGAAACATTCAAGCAAGACAAATAGTATGATGTAGAGGAAACAGCATAGGGTTTTGACTCAGAGAACTATGTTCACATCCTGGTCTTGCCCCTTATTAGCCGTGAGGTCTCAGGAAAACCACTGACTTTCTCAGCCTGTTTCCTCATCTGTGAAATGGGTAACCGATATGCCACGAAGGATTACTGTGATGATTCAAGTCTTTCACACATGGAAATGGAGGTACATGTCTGCCCCCCTCACCGTCACTGGTGTCACTCACTGCCTCCTCTGAGTGGACCCCGGAACGAACACATCCTCTGGTCATCTGCATGATGTTCTCTGAGGTTCCTCAAAGGCAGGTATGATCTTATTCACAAGAACAAAAGTGTCTACCAAATTTGGTCATGCTTGGATGTGGGCACAGGGGCCCCATTAGGCTACCGTGGATAGTCTAGTCTTTCACCAGCACCTTCCAGCGTGGATCTGGATGGGGTCAGGAAGCTGTTTATGCTCCAGCTTCTCAGGTCACCAAACACATAAGCAGCCCCAGACATTACAGATCTGGGAATCTGCGTGGTGTTTGTGGCAGACAGAGACAGGTTCTAAACGGGGCCTCTTTTTATTTATTTAAGTTCAGTTAGCCAACATATAGTACATCACTCGTTTCTGACATAGTATTCAATGATTCATTGCTCGTGTACCGCGTCTTGCCTGTGAGAGCGTAATCACCACCGGCACTGCGCCTGCTGACCCATGGCTGCTCTGCGGCTGTTTCAGGAGACGGAGGGCTACTCGGGCTCAGACATTAAGCTCGTCTGCAGGGAAGCAGCCATGCGGCCTGTGAGGAAGATCTTCAGTGCCCTTGAAAATCACCAGTCAGGTATGGTTGGGATCACAGTGGGGGTGCTCTGGGAGAGAAAGCTCTTTAAAAACCCAACTCTCACCAGCAGATGGAGCCTTGCTCCTGTTCTTGGTTGCTCTTTGCGCTTGCAAACGTTCTTTGGTCCAACTGTCCTCTGCGTACTCCACTTATTTCTCCTCTGGTGTTCTGTTTTGGATCAACTTCACTCCAGCTGATCAACTCCTTAAGGCTCAGGCTTTTATTTCTTTGGCACACTATGATGTGGGCGGGATCCATCTGCTGCACTGTGTTACTCTTAAACACTGCTTTGATAGGGAGACATTTAAGTCATATTTTTTTATCGGGCTTCAGGGGCTGAGTTGCACATTAAAGAATTCCTTCCCCAGCTCTCTTTAGTCTTGCCTTTTGCTGCATTAACGATTAAGAATGCTGCATTATGCATTGTCTTGAAAAAAGGTCTATTAGCATTTCAAGAGCGCTGATCCCGGTAAGGTCAATTACTGTGCTGTTGTGTTTTTGATCCAGAGAGCAGCAATTTACCTGGAATCCAGCTGGATACAGTGACCACTGCTGACTTCTTAGATGTGCTAGCTCACACCAAGCCTTCAGCAAAGAATCTGACTCAGAGATACTCAGCCTGGCAAAGTCAGTTCGAGTCTGTATGAAATCACACCGACCCTGACCGGGCCACAGAGACCACCATGGAGGCCTTGCCATTTATTAGTGTAAGCAGGAGAAGAACACGATGGTTGGGAGAGAAAAGAAAAAATTATACTTGAAGACTGAGTTCATATGAACAACTCGACTGTTTTGGAAATGAGAGATGTTTTTGTTAATCTTTCCTGCCTGATGCCAGCAGAATATGGAAGATGTCAGTTACAGGTATACAGGCTATTAGTCGCGCAATGCAGACTTCTCCCCCTTCCACTGAGACTCCCTACACTTTGATGAACGATTTCTTACGGTGTTCCGTGTTTGTGAATTGGTATTTTCATTCTGAAGAAAAAGATGTACTGTTGGAAGCTGTGCTGGAATGCACAGTGCTTCCAAGTCGAGGGGGCCCCTTAGAAGCGAAGCGTGACAGACCATCTGGCCAATTGACGGGCTTGAGGGGGGTTAAGAATGGGTGCGGGGAAGGACACATGGTGTTTTTTTCTGACGATGCCCTGAGTGTCATCAGCTCTCCCTGACTCTGACCCAACCAGTATGATCAGCAGCAAAGCCCCAGCAGACTAGCTCCCCGACAGAGGTCTGGGGGAGGGGCTTCGGGAGCCTCAAGCCACCAGCTCCCAGTCCCCGAGTTCCTAACATCTTCCGACTCTTCACAGCACGTGTGCTCTGCCCTCTCCTGATGGCCACAGCTCCTCAGTGGATCCACAGCTTAGGGAAGGGAAGCCCCAGGGCAGTCATCCTGGGGCTTCCCTTCCCTTAGGCTCCCCTGCATCTCCTTATGGGGTTAACAGAAGCAGTTACCTCAGAAACTCGTGATCTGGGCCACCTACTTTAAACCCTTGAAAAATGCCACTAAGTGATGCCACCACCCCTCTTCCCCGCTAGAACTTACCTGTGGTTGTCCCTTCCTTCTTCCCTTACTCACCTCATTTTCTTCATCCCTCTGCAAGGCACACTCCTCCCTGAAGAAAAACTTGCAGGAAAAGGGGTATTTTGGATAGCTAAACATTCCAAAGGACTTTATCCTAATTTTAAACAAAAACAAAGCATTTGGGGGGTACTGATTATTTTGAGAATATTCTGAAATGCCTTTTAAAAATGCCATTTCATGGGTAATGTAGTCAAACAGAAAATACACCATATATAACAAATTAAAAATAAAAAAGACATTTCATCTTAGTATATGCTCAACTTAAGCTTCTTCATGATCATGAAAGTCTTATAATATCCAACACCAGCATTACCCTAGATGTAGACATCTCTAAATGGTCTCAGACATCTGCTTCCCGTGTTTGGGGGTCATTTTTTCCTTCCTCCCTCCCTCCCTCCCTTTCTTTTCTTCCTTTTTCTTCTTTTCCTCCCTTCCTTCATTTTCTTTCTTTCCTTCCTTTTTTCTTTCCCCTTTTCCTTTTCTTTCCTCCCCCCTTTTTAAAAAAAGAGTTTATTTGTTTATATGACAGAGAGAGATCACAAGTAGGCAGAGAGGCAGGCAGAGAGAGAGAGAGGAGGAAGCAGCTCCCTGCTGAGCAGAGAGCCCAATGTGGGGCTCGATCCCAGAACCCTGGGATCATGACCCGAGCCAAAGGCATAGGCTTTAACCCACTGAGCCACCCAGGTGCCCTTTCCTTCCCTTTTCATTTTTTCTTTCCTTCCCTTCTTTCCCTTCCCTCTTTCCTTCCTTTCCTCTTTTCTTTCCTTCCTTTACTTTCTCTTTCCTTTCTTTTCTTCCTCCCTCTTTCTGTTCTTTTTAAAGATTTTATTTGACAGAGAGAGAGAAGCACAAGCAGGGGGAATGGCAGGCAGAGGGAGAAGCAGGTTCCCCGCTAAGCAGGGAGCCCGATGCAGGACTCAATCTCAGAACCCTGGGATAGTGACCTGAGCTGAAGGCAGTTGCTTAGCCAACTGAACCAGCCTCAGCTCAGGTCACTATCCCAGGGTCATTTTCTTTGTCAGGTTGTTAGTGGGTATTTCTTGCTGCCATTAGTCCATCCACTTGTGGCCACTACCATCCTTTCTGATTTCATAAAATCTCAATTGGATGGAACCTCAATTGTTGTTGCTAACTTGTTGTGATTAGAAGTAGGTATGTTTGTGTGTGTGTACTTGAAAGTGAACAGGTAAAGGGGCAAAGCCCCTTTGGATAAAAGCTTTGTAACAATGTTTGGCCCCTTTTAGCTTACTGCTCTTTCCTTATTCCAGTCAGCGTAAGCATGGTTTTGCCATCCCTCACAGCAAATACACACAACCCCACACACAGCTGACTATGTACCTGACACACCCCCACATCCTTCCTCCATTCCTCCTGACAATCTTCAAGTTCATCTTCGTAATACTTCCATTTACTTCAATTGCATATTCAGTCCTCCTCTTTCCCTTGGAAAATATGTCTCCAAATAATAACTCAAGTATGTTTGTGAGTCATGCTGTATTTCATTGACTCCTTTATCCATTTTATACACTATCTAATGACTTCCTGCTTTGGATGAAATGAAATGTAGCTCTTTCATCCCTCTGCTGTGTTTCCATCATCACCAAATAATTATGATTTTACGTTTACCCAATAATCGGTGTTTCTGTGGGAATGTGTACTGTTCACGCAGAGCCCCTAGTGAATCAAAATTACAATTCCTTTATATGTTGGTTTTGTCTTCCCAGGAATTAGTAAGTGCCTTGCCAGTATCAGATAGACTGTCAATTGCATTCCCATATCCGCTGGTCCTGGTGTTTTAAGGGGAAAGGAACCAAGAACCTTGATAGAACAAACAGAGATGTACCTAGCCCCCATTTGCAGCCCTGTAGCTCATCCTGGCTCGCTACCATGCCCGTTGTCCCCAAAGCCTTCACTTTCATGTTTCACTGCCAATTGCATTCCCATATCCTCTGGTCCTGGTGTTTTAAGGGGAAAGGAACCATGAACCTTGATAGAATAAGCAGAGATGTACCTAGCCCCCATTTGCAGCCCTGTAGCTCATCCTGGCTCGCTACCACGCCCGTTGTCCCCAAGGCCTTCACTTTCATGTTTCCTGGGATTCCAACCATTTTGTTTACCAGCTTCAAATCTCACTCCTACCTCACACCTCACCTCTCTCTACCTAGTCTCCAAGACTTCAATCTTTGAGTTTCTACAGGATGAGTTTTGGTTGTCTTTCTTTGCATGGATTTTTGTTATCAACAACCTATCCATGTTCCATCCTTCAAATTATTGTACCCTCTCATCCACTTGTGCCCATCTCTCCTCTTGTGGGTTCTCCTTGTGAGTTTATACCTTCTTTATTCCTTTACTTTGATTTTAGTGGGGCTCTGAGAAAGAGAGACCAACCAAGACATATGATTAGTTTATGTTTAGAGCCTCTATTATTTAAAAAGTAGATCAGAAGTACATCTAAGTTTATAGGGATATAGGAACCTGGCCTATTTTCAGAGGAAAATGTAACTTCATCCAACATGTGGTACACTTTCTCCTAAAGCAGAAGTCACAATGCCTGTAGAACACAGGTAAGTAAGCTGGGTATAGGACAAGGAAGAGGAGGGGCTATGATGGAGGGTGAGACTACCTGAACGACACAGCAGTGGTGCAGCTCCCACAACTTAGACACTGGGACCCAACACTGCCGATCTTTCAGTCTTCCTAGGAAAACCTATAGTAACTGATCTGCATTTGAGATCTCCTGATACCCAGATGTTGGCCACTACGGCTAAGTATCTACATTAGGATTCAAGGCCTGTCCCTGCATTTCATTCAGGTCATCATCAAGAGCCTGGTGGACTTCTACTTACCTACTGGACTGTAATCTACTTATCTAAAATAAGGCCCTCCCTCGTTTTTCGTCCTTCATGGAGCCATACAGCTATTGTGTTACAAAGTTGTGCGTACGTTTTAGCGTCTTGCACCCAAAATGTTAGCCCCAGGGCTGTGATACTTTTATCACTGCCAGTGAATGAAGCCAACATTCTTGACGATGGAGCGCTGTGTCTGCTTCCCACGCAAGAAGCTGTGATGACTGTTCCAAAGCACTTAGGTCACTGCACTCGACCTCTTCTCTGAGAGCACTTACACAACACACCTTTTACTTTACCCACAGTTGGTGTTTCATAATTTGGTTTTCTCGGGCACACTAGCTGGTGAAACAAACAGGAGTTGCGATGGGTAGGACGTGAAGGTGGGCACTGAAAAGAGTAAGATATTCAAAATTGCTGGATTTTAACAGATACAGAACTTAAATGATAAATGATTTCTGGTGCTCTGGTGTCTTGTTTGGTTGTCCCTTAGAGAGAGCGGCATGCTGTGGGGTAGTCGGCCTTGATGGCTGGCATGACAAAGTCAGAAAAGGTCCTATGCATTTATGCCGAAGGAAAGTTTTTGGGACTACGTCAAAGGAACCTGGTAACACAAAAGTGGCTTTACGCAAGCAACCGCTGATATGAGAAAGGGATTCTGCTGTTCTAGGCAAAGTGTTTCGGGGAAAAGAGACCAGTGCACTTTAAAAAATTCCTTACTGTAGAGGCCCAAGGATTTCAGTTTCATCCTACGTGAACCACCACTGATCTCAAAGCAGATGAACACAACACATACAGGTGTGTTTCTGACTTCCTGGTCCAATGTGGTACAGTAATTTTTGAACGTGGGGTTGAGAGCGAGGTGATGACACTATCCTTCCGAGGGAGTTTCTGACATCCATGGCTACAAGTGCTCAGTGTTCCCGATCAGCTCCAACAGATGCAGGACAGTAGGCAGAAGAGCTAGAGCAAAACCAGCCAGTTTTGGAGGGAGGAGAGTGCAGCAGTGGGGCAGCCATCGGTCTCTACCACTGGACTGGTGTTCCGCCTTCTTCCACACCCAGCACACACCTGGCTTCTGGCAGATGCTCAGTAATCTTCTCCTGACACTGAGTGTTCCTTACTGCCCTTTCTCGTCCCCAAATGGCGCTTGGTCCCTTTTCTGGGCCTAGGAGAGGATTATAGTAAAACTGATGCAAACACTGCCCTCAAGGTCATACCATTGAAGAAAGCCCTTTAAATGGGATGGCTGGAAAAACGAAGTCTTTTGGGGACTTCAGTTATTAAATCTCCTCCATGAGGCCCACAGCAGACCAACCAGCTATGCTGGGAATGTTTATAGTAACCTGGATCTAAAACCAGATTTTCATTTATCCTCATGAACCTCACTGTGGACAGGTCAGTTAACAAGCCCTACATAATGCTTGTTAAATAAAACAAGAAACAAAGATTTTAATGGCCCAATACGGCCAAACTAGAATGCAGGAAAGAAGCCATTTTCTCTTGGCCCGGGACCTTATGCTCACGTGGTCTTACCTCTTCCTGCCCTTGTTTGACTCCTGACACATCAGTGATGTCTACTTTGCTTTAGCTCTAACCTGTCTCTAAAGCATCAGATTCATTATTTCTGAGTGTCTAATGGGGCCTCCCCTATGGGTAACCAGTCTTCTCCTCCCTACTCCCAGTTCTACCTTCTGACAGTAAATTCCTGTATTATTTACAGCTAGTTTGTATTGGTTTGAGAACCATCTGAGTAACCAACTATCTGTGTTGCAGGAGATATAAAAAAGAATGAGCCACAGTCCTGTGTTGGGGGAGAAGGGACACATGGGGACCGAGGCCACAGTCCTGTCTCGGGGGAGAAGGGACATGTGGAGATCGAGGCATCATCTAACAAGTGCTCGTTCCACCTGCAGTCAGGTGGACATCACAGAGCAGGCCCTGGAGTGTTAAGAGCATCTTGTACGCTCTCCCTAGCTCCTCCACTAGTGAGGGTCCTCAGGGCAAAATCCTTCCCTTACACACTCGATTATTTCCTAGCGTGGCACTTAGCACGTAGCAACCAGCAAACGCTACTCAGTGGTGCTTGAGTCAAGGCATCACTGAGCCAGGCGGCCAGGTAACCAGTCCCGGGCAAATGGAGCGCAGCCATCAGCACCAGGCAGCACACTCCAGCCGCACGCCCAGCTGACCATGCCTCTGCGTGCAATGGAGTAGCATCTCCTTTTCTTAATCCTCAGGAAGACCTCCCCTATTGAACTGACTGTGGAGATGAATTCTATCAAGATTTATCAGATTATTCAGTGTGGACAGTGCCACTATGTCTGCCTCCTCATCGGCGCCGAAGACACAATGTGCTTCGAAGATGCTGCAGAAGGTGGTCCTCAGCATTTGGCCAATTCTACTCTCCGCACTTACTAGGCTGGTCACACATTTAACCCTCATGACAAGCCTGTGTGGTGGGTGCTGTCACGGTCTCCATTTTACACACACAACTACAGAGCTAGTTAACTGCTAGCGAGGCCCCCAAACCCATGCTCCTGGCCATTCCACTCGTGCCTCCGATTGGTGGTGGCCGTCCTATCATGCTGTCCTTTGCGCTCTAGGCTGTGTTAAGTACAAAGTCAGGGCATCTGCAAAAACAAGAACCGAGCCATCACCAAACCACCAGAAGGAGAGGGGCTGCCATTTATTTAGCTCTGCCCCTGCCATCCAAGACCAGGCTGATCTCTAAACAAGCATCAAAGCCCGAAGCTCATTAACATCAGCGCGCGCTTCAATAAGGTGAACACCACAGTGATACACAATTACATGCTAATAATTCAATGCCCAAGAGCCCTGTAAAACAATTGCAAAGACCCAGGATGATCACAGTATGCAAATGCACGAGGAAAATCATTACCTACTTAGGTCCCTTCATTTTGGTGGGTTTAACATGAGAAGAATAATCCAGGCTACAAGACGAGATTTCATTTTACAGCTGTAGTAACCAAGTACATAAAAGCTTGAATCTGTCCCAATAGCTTCTGAAAGATTTTTCCCATAGTGTCAGAGGCAAAAATAATGAAATCTTGCAAATGTACAGTTAATAGGACCCCGGTGGACACTAACTTCAAAAATGCATGGTCTATAAGACATTAAAGGCTTGATTTTAGTTTCTGCACTGTTCCTGTTAATAACAATGTCTAATTAAAACATCTGTAAAATACTGATAGTTTTAATTTTACATAAAATTTCCAAAACAACTGTTACACAGTATAATAGGCATCTGCAATGAATAGGTTATTAATGGAAATATTATTTTAAATTAAAATCAGGTTCTAAATTTAAATTAGTCATCTCTGGCTAATGAAGAGAAAAAGAAGTCACCCGTGCTGGGAATAATACGGTAGATAATCTAGTCTTCAATATTCGTTAAGGCAAATTCACTTGATCACTTGGGCTAAAGGACAATTTATTTTGCCGCTTTCACTTGTACTCCACTTGGCACTTCTGACGGATTTCACAGTTGAACTCAATATTAAAACTACAGCTGAAATGCACTTTCCAAAACATTATTTTATAATTTAAAAAATGCCATTCAATCTCCTTCACACTTGGAACACTCCCCCCTCCCAGCGGACCAGTGAGGAGGCAGCAGAGAACGTGATGCCCCACAGGAGGCTCTCCCTCCCAGCCCTGCCGGCCTGATGAATATTTTAAGAGGAATGGCATAAAATCTTGGCTTTCCCTTTCTCTGGGTCTCATCTTCTTTTACAAAATAAAACAAAAGAGATACACGAGGCGTAGTGCCTGCCTGCGATTTGATACCTTTCTTTCTAATTACTGCACAGCAGAGGAGTGCTGCTCTGTGCCTGCCTGGGCTGAAACGGACCCGGGGAGGGATTCGTTCCGGACAACGAACAGCTGCGTCTCCGGCTGCTTCTGACTGATGTAAAGGATCACAGGAGATGCTGCAGAATGTGGTCCACGGCATGAGGGAAGCTCTCGCAAGTTAAGTAAGGAGGCGGATTAATTTTTTCTTCATCTGCTGCTCGGTATTTCCCTGAAATGAAAGGAGAGCCAGTGAACAAAGGCTACTGCTAGAAAGCCACATTCATCACGTCCCGTGAGCACCGGGGCCACCTCCGAAACACCCTGGCGAGTACTGGAGAACCAGGGGCTCCCCATCTCCCAAACCATCTCTTAGAGAAGCTTTTGGCTGCAATGAGGCAGTTCAAAGCAATATCACGTCCAGCATCTTCCCCCAGGACTCCGGTCCTTCATAATGGACAGTCGCAGGGGCCAGGACACCTGGCCGCTAAGGTTTCCTTCAGATCTCCACAGCTGGGGAAATCATTTTCTTCCCCACCAGCCCTAAAGATAGGAATGGAGACTGAAGCAATGCTTTTCAATGGAAGCCAGGACAGGACAGGGAGGAAGACTTATCAGCTCCCAAGAGAGACTGGAGACAGCACGTGCTGCCACCTAGGGACCCTGAGAGCACCCAGGGGTGGGGACAGAAAGAGACGAAGGCACACAGCCCTGGCTCAGTAGGACGACGCACCCAGCAGGTGCACTGGCTCAGTCTCCCTGGGCTCTGGAATGTGGGACACATAACCAAAGACCTCAGCACAGAGAGGAACCCTTCCACACAGTAGTCACGGGCAGCTTTACAAATGTTTAAGTCGGATGATGCATGGTCCCTATTTAAACACCCTTAATGGGTCCCAAGGCCCTTCAGAAAGAACCCAAATCCCTACCACTGCCCTTTGTCATGTGGCCCAGCATCCCTCCAACCTCAGCGCGTGCCACCTTCACAAGACCGCAGTCCTAGACGGCACCTGGCTCTTTCAGGACCTTCACACCTGCTGTCCCCTTTGCTGGCAACAGTCTTCTCACCCCACTCATCACCTCCCGCACGCTTCGGGTCGAATTTCATATTTCCATTCCGGTTACATCTCCTCCCTGCCTCTCCCCTAGCACCCTGTTCTTTGCCTCCACATTTATAGTGCGTTGCGATTCATGTATTTATTTGCTTAATGTCTGTCTCTCACCTAAGACTGTGAGTTCTCTCAGAGTAGGGACCATATCTGTTATTTTCCCCAATGTATTCATTCCCAGCACTGAACATAATGACTAACACGAGGTGAGCATTCCACAATTTCTTTAAGAATGCAAAGAAGGAAGAGAGGGAGGAAGGAAGGCTGGAAGGAGGGAAAATGGGAGAAGGGAGGGAGGAGGAAGGAAGGGCGGAACACTGCTTCAACTGAGGCCCTGGGGAACAAGGCCAAGTGCCCTGTAGCCCCTGGGGCTACCTCTGCACTTTCCCCTTCTCTTTGCTCTCTCATCCCTTTTCCTTTGATCTCTCCCATTTAACCCTCTGCATTCTCCAGCACTCTCTGCCTGAATCCAGCTCCCCTAACAACAGACCCACCATTCCTACAGTTCCCGCCATTCTCCATTAACTACCTCTTTATGAGGCTTTGCTCAGCAAACAGAAAGCCTGAAAGTCCTGTTCCACACCTCTGCGCTGTGGTGAAAATATTTTCTGCTTTGTCTTACTAACTGTGAATTCCCTATAGGCCCCGAGCCAGCATCAAATGTACAAAGCGAACAAACACCGGCCTCATTCACCTCATCTAGGCACCTGTCCGCGGTAGGAGCCACACAGAAAACTCTGGGGCTAGTTCTTCCTCAACCTTAAATTCCATTAAGTACAAACTCTTGCCACATTTCTACTTGGTTTCAAACAGAAGTCACTGACTACTGCTCTACCATACCACCTACTTCCCGGATCCAGTGGCATAAGGGCGCATATGTGAAAGTCAAGTTTCTTAGCCACGGAGTTAAGGGCTTGCAGAATGCTCTTGCCATCTGGCTGTGCAGGTGGGGGCTTCTACAAAGTCCTCACCGACACAGTGGCTTACAGACGTGTGTGGTAGCTCCAGCACCTCAAATGGTGGCTGGCATGCAGCAGGTGCTCACTGATGTGGGCCGCGTGAACAAAGCAGGCCACCAGCACTCACGCCTGCCTCACTCACTGTGGCAGTCTGTGCTCTCCTGGATGGATGAATTCCTGGAAGAGTACAGGAAGCCATTTCGAGGATATTAGATCAAGAGTGACCCCACCTTTTCTAGGTGACTGTTTTACATGCTAAGCAAATACATTCTGGGCAGGACTAGTCACAAATCTTTAATAACATCGTTGGGCAAATGCATACTGAGCTTCCACCAGGTGCCACTCACTGAGAAACAGAATTGCTCAAGACCATCCGTAAGAAGCACTTATTATGGGATAGATTAACACCTTTGTGATCATTTTCAACACTGGGGAGCGTAGTATTTGTTCCAATGCATGGATTTCAAAATCACCAACAGAGCTAGCCATTTTGTGTGCTTTTAGAACAGTGGGCTTACTTGGGCTTGTTTCTGACCAGACATGAACAGTACAAATGGGCCTATTTCCCTGGACTGGACTTGCTGTTTACTGGCTATACATTTTCAATTCGGTCGTGTTCTGCTGCTGGCTTCTCTAAGACCAACTAGATGGCTCCGTGACAGGCTGACCACAACCAACTGCCAGTCAGGAAAGAAGGGACAACCAACAGAAGCCAGCCATGGCAGAGGAAGCAGGGCCCACAAGACACTGGCATAGGGGGTTTTCATACTTAGTATAAATCCTTAATGATGTGAATTGAGGAGAGAAAATGTTCGCAGGGGTAATAGACAAGAGGAGAAATACTTATCTGGAGATTTCCTCAGTGACCAGGAAATAAAACAGTGAATGGCAGGAACTTGAAAATTAGGATACAGGGAGGGACCATGAGTGCGATGACTTTTCTGGACTTTTTCTTTCTTGGTACTTCCTCTTTTTTGCTTACATCAAAGGGCAGTCATGTTCGCAGGAGGCTGCTGAGCATTTTGAGAAGTATAAACAAACACCCTGTTCACTCTGGAAAGATGAGTCCCTATCTGCAAGGCTCGCAGGACTCCCTCCAGAATCCTGGCATAGCCTGTACTCCGTTCACACAGGGCCCTGCCAAATGCTGCTTCTTCAATGCTAGCTGTAGCTATGCTTGCCAGTTTCTACTTTTAAATTTAAAATAGCTTTTATGCAACCGCATTTTCTTGAATATATGTCAGTTGGGAGTAAATGTACTTTTTCTAAAAAATGTCCAAGCTGTGGCTCTTCTGAGACTTTGTTTAAATCTTCCTTCGTAGGAACAGCCTCTTAAATGGTTCCGCTAGCATTCTATGAACCTGGGCATTCTATGAAGTCCACTCACTGCAGACTGGGGCCAGGACCCAGCACACTACTGGGTCCTCTGTCGTCATAATACCATATTAGTTGAGTCCTCCCCAGGAAGTTCCTGTCTTCAGTTTACTCTGAAGGGCCACAAAGAGTATACCTACTTTGGGTATAGGAAATAATTCCTAAAATAGTAAGTAAAAGTTCTTTGTGTGATTTTTTAAAAAAAATACAAGTGTTAACAGAAAGTATCAGATCACTTAGCCCACAAGTTCCTAAGGAGACCAACTTTATCTTTTGCTGGCACCAAAAAAAAAAAAAAAAAGATACTTTTATAGAACATCCCCAAATCAGTCAACTTTGGTCCATTCCAATGTGGTGATTTGTGTATCAAGAAAATCATATAAATAGTAATTGTCAACCAGCACAGTTATCTCTGGGTAAGTTTTAATATAACCTCTGAATTCTCTCTGATCTTTCAATTTTTATGCAGCATGGGCCCTCCCACAATGTCTTTCCCTGAGATCCTGAGCCCCTTTTATTTTTGCTTTGAGGCAGAAAGAGAATTAAAGTGCTCAGTGGGCTTTGTCATTTCTGCAAAGACTGTTCTTTAAGCAACTGTGTGTTTTACCATCCTATTTGAGAGAAGGCTTAATGCAGAAGATACATACCAGTTTTTACTAAGATACCCAGCATGCCAACATTCTGAGCCCCACCGACATCATCCCTGCAATCCTAGAAAAGGATAAAGAAAGCATTTAGTTCAAAAAAATACAAGAGAGGGGTGCTTGGGTGGCTCAGTGGGTTAGGCCTCTGCCTTCGACTCGGGACATGATCTCAGGGTCCTGAGATCAAGCCCCACATCGGGCTCTCTGCTTGGCGGGGAGCCTGCTTCCCCACCTGTCTCTGCCTGCCTCTCTGTTTCTTTGATCTCTCTCTTTCTCAAATAAATAAATAAAATCGTTTTAAAAAAAAAAACAACAAAAACAACAACAACAAAAAAAAAAGCAGTGTAGCGAAGCTGGCTCTAGCCTGCAGACGGGTAAGCTCTGGCCATTTCCTGGGCTTCTCTACTTACATCTCCTATCATGACGGCCTCCTCAGGTTCACAGCCAGTGCCCCGCAATGCTTCCAAAAAGAACGTCTTCTCTGGTTTTCCCACGACTGTGGCTTTGGTGTCTGTGGCATACTCCAGAGCTGTCACGAATGGTCCAGGCCCCAGGGCGAGGCCGTCTTTCCTCTTGTAATACCTGGCTTTGTGGATTGCTATCAGAGGGGCCCCATCCAGGAGTAAGCTAGGGAGACAGAGAAAATGGAAAGTGGCTAAGAAACTGGAAAAGCATGTCAGGCTCACAAAGTGGTTTTATTCACACTCACGGAAACAAACAGTTTCTTATTAACTTTTAATGACTTGCTGTCTTCTAATGAATTCGCAAGAACTGCTGGGAATTACACTCAGATACACGAAAGAAAGGTGATAGATTATTAAATTTGGGATTGCTTCAACCTTTACCTTTAGCGGTTTCAGACACTTTACCCGAATCACCAGGGAAAGAGAATGAAGAGAAGTAAAGCTAAATAAGACACTCGAGGGAAGAAGCTTAACTTAACGAGATAGGTTGTTTCAGCCTTCCCTAATGGCAAGCAGGAGGCTCTGGAGCCTTTTCCAACATGAGACAACTGTTGCTGCACGGATGGTCTCGCTAACGCCGGAAATACCTGCATTCCTCTTCTTCTACTCCAAGATGTGAGTTTCTTCTTCAGTCAGAAATTCAGAAGACCATTTCACAAACACTTTCTCTTGTACTTTTACCTTTTCATCCTACCTTCGACTGCTTCAAGCCATCCTCCCTGAAGAACACACCAGTGAGGCTTAAGGGAAAGCCCATGCTGTCAAGTCCCTTCCTTTGTCCCGACATAGGACAAATGCCTGAGACCGATGGGAAGGGCAACCCGGAGTTTGAGACCCAAACTCCACAGAGAGCTAACCCCCATCCCCAAACACCTGCCGCCCATCCCAACAGCACCGCCCGCAGTCACAGGGCAGAAAACAGCCATGCACATACTCTCCTCTAATGGAATTCGGGACAGGATAGATTTCTTCAACTGCTTTTAACCAGTGTAATAAAGGATCTCACTAGCCTGATTTACTTTAAGTCATCTCCTTAGTTAAAATATTTAGTATGTCCATCGAGGAGGAATTCATCACATCTTACCCTTCACAATTATGAGTAATTAAGCGCTCAACTATGAAACTGCTAAATTATTCTTGTCAGTGGGCACAAAAATGCCTTCCTGTGGGAGATGCAGAATTCAGACATTTATGATTAAATATTTTATTAAGTAAAAACCAATACTGGACTATTACAGGGCCTTATTGTTAGTTACTACGAATTGCTCACAGCACAGGATAGATCCTTCAAATGTATTCACTAACATTCATACAAATTAACTTCTTAAAGCAGATCCTGAAATCCAACTGTTAGGAAACCTGACAAAGCCAATATGTTGGCCTTAAAGAACCACTGCTGTTAACAGTGAGATAATACTGGTTGATTTATCTAGCCCCACTTCTTGTCACCCCACCCCCAATCCCATTTATTTGCTACTCTACCACGGAACTGGAATTCTTTATGCAACAAACCTCAAAATTGCTTTCCACTTATATAGCTAAACTAAAAACTCATTTGATTTAGCTTTGTTAATATTTTATTATATATTAACTGGGGATAAGACTTATCAGCTTGGTTGATGTGTGTACTTTAATTCCCAGGCAGTACTTCAGTGCCTTCCCTGGAAGGGCTGAAACTGCGGGTTCCTCCACATTTCTCTAAATGGGAACAGGTTCTCTACGAGGCTGGAGAGGACACGCATCTCTCAGGGAAGTGGTTCCTGCTTCTACCTTCCTTCTGTGCACAACATGGGCTTTACCGAATCTTTGGAGAGCCGAGCCATATTCAGGATGGACTGAAAAATAAACGTGTTCTAGAACACAGATTAGAAGATCTTTTATAGTTAAACATTTTTAAAAATATAAAAAATAGACACGCCAATACTTCGAGTATTTTTACACTTCCTAGACAGGGCCGCAAAGGGTCAGTTGCTTTTGCTATAACAAAGAATGCATTAGCAGGAAGTCTGACAATTTTCTGTCTGTATCTCACTATAAAACCACTGAGGTTCAAGAAATAAGGGGAAGGAAAAGGCACAAAGAAGGCCTGATTCAAATATCTCTGGCTGCAAATCCTATGTAGGCAAAGTAAAAAACCTGTAACATGCCCTAGCTAAGCAGGGCCACAACACAGAAATCTTAGGCAGAGCAGTGAGAGGAAAGCTAAGGGGATAACTCACATTTACAGCTACAAAACTCTGCTGAAAGGGACCTCAAGGAACATCAGGTCCAACACGCCCTGACGTTGGATGAAGAGATCATCTGGAGATGTTGGCCATGATCGACTACACCACCAAGGAGAACTATAACCCAGAGAACATCTGAAAACCAATCGAGTCCTCTTCCAAATGCACTATACTGTCTTTCTAAATAACTTTTCTAGGAAAACAATCAACTTTTCATCATTTCCATGGAAGATGGAGCATATGGAAATGAGATCACATGGCAGCTTAAATGATTGTCAGACCTTTCCTATATGTCCAACATCAAACTAGGGAGTCCCTTCCTTTCTGCTCCCCCCAAAACCATGCCCCAATCTCTCCCACCCAATATATTCACCCAGGTCCTCAAACCAGACACCTAGGAGCCATCCTCGACCTATCCCTTTCACCCATCCCCCTTCACCCCTACTCATTAACATATCCAGTAATTTCCAATTCCAAAACAAAAATTAAAATATCTCAAAACTGTCTCCCTCCTTTCCTGAACTTCTGCAACGGTCTCCCAACCAACCTTCCTGCTTTCTATTCTTGCTCCATTCTTCCAAGCCATTGTATAGGCAATATGGGAGTTTTAAAAGTACAGATGGGATCACATCCCTCCCCCACTCGGAAGCCCTCAACAACTTCTCACTGCAAATAGTATAAAACCTGAAGTCCTCACTGCAACCTACATCTCCAGTCTTAAGTCACCTTCTCAGTCGATGGTCATGTGCCAGATACAGCAGTCTCTTCCAACTTCTTAAAAACCATGCCACTCTCTTGTGCTTCAGCCGACACCTCCTGACACAGCTCCCCATGTTTTTCACACAGCTGTCTTCTGCTCATTCATCAGGTCTCAGCTTCAACATCAGCACAACGAAGAAGCATTTCCAACCTTCATATGTAAAGTGGACTTCTTCCTCGCCTCTGATCTCTTCTCTCATCACCCTTTTCCCTTTGTATCACTTCCCACAGTTCATCATTCTTACTCAACTGTGATTGGTCTGTCTTCCTCACCAGAATATAATTTCCACTATGCCCATCAGTTTTACTCATCGCTGTTATCTCTGACTTCCAAAACACAGACAAAAAAAACGCTGGCACTTCTCACCAAATGTTTACTGAATTAATGGATGAAGCTCCGTCTGTCTCGGTCCTGATAAATGACATGAGGAGTGATGCTTACCTTCCTAGGACTAGAGAGGATCTATGCAAACCTTTTCACAGTATCTGCCTGACAATAATGGCAATTATTATTCTTCATAAATACAGAAGTATGGGATCCTTGCTACTTAAAATAGCTAACAGCAAATCACTTCGTATTTGTGGGCCTTGGTTTCTTATCAAATGAAGAGGCTGAAACAGATCAGGGCTTTTTCAGTCTCAGCACGGGTGATACTTTGGGCTGGAAAATGCATTGTTGTGGTGCCTGTCCTATATGCATAGGACGTTTAGCAGCGCCCCTGGTCTCTCCCCACTGGATGACAGCAGCAGCCTCTTCCCCAGTTTTGACAACCAAAAATGTCTCCAGACATTACCAAATGTCCCCTGGGAAGCAAAAGTGCCCCTGGTTAAGAACCATTAAACTGGATGACTACCAAAGCCTTGACACTCAATACATTTAAAACCCGTCAACCTGAGAAACACAAACTACCAAAAGCCCAAATTAAAATGATAGTAAATCATGAAACATATCAAAGGAAAATCTCACTAACAACAAACTATATTGCTACATGCAACAACTTGATTAATCTCAAAAGCAGACAAATATGCTACAATTATATGATTTCATTCATATGAAGATCAAGAACCGGGTGCCTGGGTGGCTCAGTGGGTTGAGCCTCTGCCTTCGGCTCGGGTCGTGATCTCAGGGTTCTGGGATCGAGTCCCGCGTCGGGCTCTCTGCTCAGCGGGGAGCCTGCTTCCTCTCTCTCTCTGCCTGCCTCTCTGCCTACTTGTGATCTCTCTCTCTCTGTCAAATAAATAAATAAAATCTTAAAAAAAAAAAAAAAAAGATCAAGAACCCGCAACACTGACAGCAATCATAGTGGTGACTGTAAGGAAGGTGTAGTGTTGACTGGGATAGGGAGCCTTCTAGGGTGCTGTAGATGTTCTGGTCCTTGATCACAGAGGGGGTTACACAGGTATATCTAAGTGTAAAATTTCACTGAGTCATATACTGACAATTTGTATACCCTGCCATGCATGTTATACATCAAATAAAAAAAATCAATAATAATATATTTATGTGAATTATTCACTGGAAGCTTTTATTTGGAGTAGCAAGAGCTGCCTTGACCATAAAAGAATCTCCCCACTGATTAAAAAGTAAGAGTTGTTTAGTGGCCGATAATCAACTCAATTCTGTAATCTGATTTTCAGTCTGGCATATTAAGTTGTCCTCCTGCATATACTAATGGAATGCTTTATATAACTCAAGTTCTTAAGTCTTAAACAATTTCTTACTTACAAAGTGTTTTATTTTATAGTCTGGACTTCAATTTAAAAAACTGCATCATAGCCCTTTCAAAAGAGAAAAAGCCCAGAGAAATGATTTCTACTTTAAGCCCTGCTGCCACATTGTTCTGGAATTCCTCATGCCCAGGGCTCTGAACACCCAGAAAAAGTTCAGGAGTTCCTGTCCAAATGCACTAATAACCAAGGCCATTACTGTTGATTTTTTCTTCCCTTTCTAAGGAACTGAATATACTGGAGTAATCAAAACATTTTATTTTTTTCTTAAGGAGATAGGGAAAAGAAAGCAATTCAACACTGAACAGAAACCATCCATGGTGATAAGGATCTCCTCCCCAAAACCAAAACCCCCTAATTTTTGCACACATCTAAGACTTTGGGAGGACTCCTGTACCTGGCAACAATTATAGAAAAGAAGTTACTAACAAAGTTTCAAAACATTATTATTAAGCACACTTCATCTCTGCATTTAATTGTCAAAGTTTCGGTATCATTTACCTCGTTATAACGATATCTTAAGAAGCTCCTCTAGAAGCTACAGGTAGCTGCTCTTAGGGAAAAAAAAACACCAAAAATTACAACTTTTCCTAGGTTAAGCAATTCTCTGTAGTTTTCCTCCCAAATCCTTTTGACCCAGCGATATATACTTCTGAAAACAATCTTGAATAAATATAAGTACTATTTAAAGAAATGTGCTTTCATTTTTCAAAAACTAACTTCAAAATCCTGGAAAGAGCCAACAATAGGAAGTGTATTGTACTTTTTAAAGTGGAATATGCTGTGGCAATCGAATGTGTTTTGGAGGACTAGTAACACAGATAAACATGCACAAAAGTGGAGTTAGCCAGTGAACCCAGAGTATATGTACATTCTCATTTTTATCTGGTATTTATGGACATGGAAACAAATGAGCTACGCGCTAGCATGTTAACTGGGGCTCTCTTTACGTAGCAGGATTACAAGTAATTTTATTTATTCTTTTCCTTTTTGAGCATTTAAACTTATCCACAATGAAGACTTTTTAAAATTACTTTTGCGCTGATTTTTTTTTTTTTTTTAGTCTTGTGACTAAGTTAAGTGATCTGTTATTAAGTGATCTATTTGCCCAGCAGCCTTTCTCCTAATAGAGATCATCAGGCTTAATTATAATTGGTCCATTACTAAAATGCTCAAGCTTTAGGTTTCTTACTCAGGTCAGCAGATGAAAAAAGAGACCTAGCCACAAGCAAGTACTGCCGCTGTGCAAATGAATGTACTGGAGCTGGGGATATTCGTGGTGATGAATCCAACAGTACTACCAGCGGATAAAGCAACACTGATAGAGTAGAACACGTACAAAATACTACTACTTGTTGTTTAGGGACACCTGCCGTATGCGCTAAGTACAAAGAAATATATGACAATGATCAACACAGAATTCATGACCGTGATTACTTCTAGGTCTTAGGTGGTAAAGTCAGGAACACACATGCAGGGGATATCAAATGTGCTGACAGTTTGTGTTTCTTAAACTGACTGACAGGCATATGAGTGTTCATTATATTACACTTTGTATCTTTCAGTGTTAGATAAAAGGGGAAAAGCCATCCAAGGCTCTTAGCATTTGAATGTCTTCTAGAACCCAAACCCAAGTCATTTCTGTTCCCTATAGCTGGTTCTTATCCTTCCCCAAAATCAATTCTTTAAATTCAGGTTTTTCAGTTTCATTCAGACATTTAAGATACATTTGTAGACAGACTGTGCTATATATGTGTGTGTGTCTGTATGTGCTTGGGGCTTACATACATTTATGTATGGGTCTACATATGGGTTTATGAATGGGTTTACCCATTCAAAACACAGTAAATAAGAGGCAGTGTAATGTGGAAGGTTGATGTGTCTGCCTCAGGGCGATATGCCCTGAAGCTGTTATTCAAGGCAGCGATGCAACGGGGTTTAAAATCCAATGTTTATTCTCATTATCAACCTGAATAGTAATTTAACTAATCGGTAGTTTATTTGAGATGCCTATATTTGCCACACACAATCCAAACAGCTGTAGTCATTGGTTGGAAGGCACAGTCTCTGTGGAGACATCAATATGCAAAGAAGGGCAAGACCTAAAATCCTTCTGTTAATTCTCCACCCAGCTGTTAAGTGCATTTGTGAAATTAGAGTTGACCTATAAGTGCACTGTAATGCTTTAAAATGTAGTGTTTAAAAAAATCGATATGGTTAGGGGAGTGTACTAATTAGACAGCATCCGAGCAATTACAAAGTCAGTATTATGTCAACATACATTTTTATTACCCTGAGTCTAGTATTCATCTAAGACAGAAACCTCCCAACTTCCTATTAAATATGTCCTTCCCAAATTACCAACTAAAATCAATCAATACCCTCTCCTTGAATTCTGTGGTTAAAGAAATGGATAAAAGGTAGTGGGTTAAGTTCAAAAGTAAGAAATCATAGCAGATTCTCCATTTTACATGAAAACTGATTTTGGCATAGCGGTAAACCTTACTTAAGGAGCAGCTAGATAATCCACCCCCCTACCCCCAACCCAAGAAGCTAAAGGAGGATAACTGAAGTAGGTGAAGCAAGAAGAATTTTACTACCAGACACCCCAAAGTGTACCTTCAAGCAGTGCACCACAGAATGGATCTTCAGGAAATACGTACAGCAAATGGATCCTGAACAACTATGAAAAGTGAGTTTATTTCTTTTAAACAAAGGCTTGACTGTCACAGTGACGGGTAAGAGAGTCACAAATAAAAGTGCATTAAGTAGCCAAGGTTTCTATTAACCAAGGATCTAAAATAAATATTCATACAAAGAGAAAAGGTGGTTACTCCCAAAGTGCTATTTTTGGCCACAAAGATTTCCAAGATCAGCAGCAAATAATGAGCCCAGATGTGTGAACCCTGCAGTGACTTTTAAACTTTCCTGCAAACATTCTGACTACTGGACATCTACATCAAGAAATGACTTCTACATCAAGTATATGTTAGAATGATTCTTACAGATCTTCATACTAGTAAGAAAAACAATGTTTTTATGGCATTCTTTGTAACTAAATACCAAAAATTTACCAAGCCATTACAAAAAATGTTTACACAATTTCAGTGTATCCTGATGCAATATTTAGAACTACTGAACTTGTCATAAACTGAAAGGCAAATTACACTGTTTAATGGCTTGACAAGAACTAAAAAAGATGAAATATGAAAAATCTATGAAAAATGAAAAATCCAAGGGGAAAAAAAAATCAGTCTCCCTCTAGAGCATATTTGTGGGTAGATTCTGCTCCAATTTATCTGAAGTGTAAGAACCAGGATGCTTTCTTCCTTTTGAAGCAGCCAGTGCAAAGTTCATGTAACCAAAATGGACACACAAGTGAAGATTCAGAACATTTTCCATGTTGTATTTCCCCACATTTCTATTGGCAGCCACTGGAACATTTCCAGTTAGACACCCCAAAGGATGAACAGCCCCAACCTAAACTTATCACCTCCTGAACCCCGACAGGGGGTGTCTCTGTCATATGTGCTCAGGTTAGAAATCTGGACATCAGCCTTGATTCACTGGTCTTCCTCACCCCTAAACCCAACCATCCATCAAGTCATGTTGACACTACCTGAATCTGCTCCTTCATCCTTACTGCTACCATCCCAGTTCAGACTACCATTATCACTTACCAAATAATTTCTTTTAAAGTGTGGTCAAATGTGTCAACTTCTCTCCATACCCTAGATTATCACCAGAGGAAGAAATCGCGTGTATTGTTTTTGGAGCATTAATCGGGATGATATACCTTCCTTCAGACAATAGCATAGTCCATGGAGAATCAAAGGAATGATAATAAAAGATAAAACTGAAACTATTTCCCACAGGATGAATGAGGTTAAAATAAGCAGAAAGTTTAAAGCTTGTTTTTCAGAGAACTGTTGCCCCCTCATCAGTCATTACATATTTTCAGACCCTACTAACAACATATCCACTAGCTGTCTCTCCAGAAGCCTGGAATCAAGGTCATCTCACAGGGTTCTAGCCTAGGAAAAGCCACACCCAGCATATCTACCCTGAGATAAGGAGGCCAAAACCCCATTCAGTTTACACCAGTTCTCAGAGCACGCCTATAGCCATTTCTACTCTTTGCCCCAAGATAACCTTCTGACGTCAGGGGTTGAATTTTGCCTCATTCTGGGGTTAAATCTCCACCCCAAAGTGAACATGGGATGTTAAATCTATGTATGCTCAGTGATCACACTCCATCTTTTCTCATGAAGAGTCATGTAAGTTTCCCTGCCCTTTTCAGCAATATGTACGTAATCTCAACCCCTCTGATCATAAAACCCTTGTTCTCTCCCCCTTTGAGGAAACAGATTGGAGGCTTATCCTCCAGTCTCTTCCTTTAGCTGCCTCTCAAATAAACTCCTTCCTTGCTGCAAACCTGATGTCTCAGGGACTGGCTTTGCGCCCCATCAGGCAGATGGACTTGGGTTCCATTACAAAACTGCTAACTTCAGAGCTGCAATATTATTATGAATTTCTGTCCCAGGGTATTGATTCTACAAACCAGAAAAACTCCAATGATCATCACATTTTAACATATTGATTATTTCTTAAAAACTAAGCAAGATAGTAATAAATATGATTTAATGTTGATCTTGAAGTGATCTTGAAGGCATCTACCTTCATGCACAATTTGGGTGGCCAGAAAGCGAAATACATCTATAACCTTACATGACAGAGACTCAGGAAGGGAAGAGAGGAGCATATGATCAGATGAAAAATAAATAGCTAGAGACTTACCGGAATGCTTGATTCAGTATTTGATAATGAAAATGTTCTGGTGCCAATCCTATGACCACAGCATTGGGATCACTTGTTTGTATTCCTGGGAATGGAAAAAATATGTAATTATTGAAAAGTGCAGTTAAAAGTAATGATACATTTTATAATAAAATAGCTTTAGTCAATCAAATACAAATTTTTGCTGTAGCCATAATCTGAAATTTAAGAGATTATTCTGCCCAAAGTACTTTGGAGGTATAAGCAATACTTTAAATAGTTTGTTTTCATTATTTTTAATTTTCTAGTATTTCTGCATATTCCTTTTCCACGGTGTCACAATGCTTAGTAATCAGAAGATCCCAATGAAAACTTACAACTTGATGCTCTCAAACAAGGGACAATCTCTAACTTTTAAAAGCTTTACTGATTACAATCAACAAGAACAACCACGAGTTCTCTATGAGCTATCAGATCAATAGCAACTGATAAGGGACTAGAAGTCCAAGAGGCAAGGGAAATTAGACTTTCTAATTGACATAGCTGAGGTGAACACACTCATGATAAATAAGGAGTGCACCGTAGATTCTACAGTTTCCTACTTAATGCCTCATCTACTCTCAGTTCCACAAATATTATTCTATCATTATTTTAAGGCCTTGGTATCTGGTAACAGAACCTTAGATATGACAACTGAACAAGTGCATTCACCATCGCAGTTATTAAAGGTCTGATTAAAGGTTCTGCAGATTATCTATATACCAATTCCTATTTGCCTCTCTCACTGCCTGCCTTGAAGCATCATCATAGAGTCCACCAAAATGGGAGGGGAAGAAATAGAAAGAGCAGATACCCAGATTTCCAATTGCCTCCTTACTAGTAGCCACAAATACTGAGTAGTAGCTCAGAAATGGTAGTACACCCAGCAAGCACTGGCTATCACTGCTTCTAGGCCTTTGCAGTGCAAGATCTAGAGAACGTTTTTGTTTTTTTTTTTTAAGAGAAAAAGGGAATTGACAATGGTATTTTTAATTCAAAATTGGTAATACATGGCTTATTTGATTTTTATATTCTTATCTCTTTTCACTTATACATAAAATCACGGGTACTACCAATACTAGTGTAATTACTAATTTGTTTTGTATCTGTAATTTAAAAATAATATCTAACTACCTTACTACAACACTAAGACTACTGAATGCGTTTAAGATTCCTTTGCAGTTCATTTTTTATTATACATATAATGTATTACTGTTTCAGAGGTAGAGGTCTATGATTCATCAGTCTAATATAATACCCAGTGTTCATTACATCACATAGGCTCCTTAACGTCCATCACCCACAGTTATCCATCCCTTCAACCCTCTATCCCTTCCAACAACCCTCAGTTTGTTTTCCTATGATTAAGAGTCTCTTGTGGTTTGTCTCCCTCTCATCTCATTGTCTTTTATTTATTCCTCTCTTTTCCTATGATCCTGTTTTTTTCTTAAATTCCACATATCAGTGAGATCATATGATAATTGTCTTTCTCTGATCAACTTATTTTGCTTAGCCTAATACCTTCTAGTTCCATCCACATTGTTGCAAATGGCAAAATTTCATTTTTTGATGGCTAAGTAGTATTCCATTGTGTATATATATATATATATATATATATATATACATATATATATATATACACCACATCTTTATCCATTCATCCTTGATGGACATGTGGGCTATTTGCATAGTTTGGCTATTGTGGACATTGCTGCTATAAACATTAGGGTGCATGCGCCCCTACAGATCACTACATTTGTATCTTTGGGGTCAATACCTAGTACTGCAATTGCTGGGTCATAGGGTAGCTCTATTTTCAACTTTTTGAGGAATCTCCACCCAGTTTTCCAGAGTGGCTGCACCAACTTGCATTCCCACCAACAGTGTAGGAAGGTTCCCCTTTCTCCGCATCCTTGTCAGCGTCTGTCGTTTCCTGACTTGTTAATTTTAGCCATTCTGACTGGTATGAGGTGGTTTTGATTTGTATTTTCCTGATGGTTAGTGATGTTGAGCATTTTTTCATGTGTCTGTTGGCCATCTGGATGTCTTCTTTGCAGAAATGTCTGTTCATGTCTTCTGCCCATTTCTTGATTGGATTCTTTGTTCTTTGGGCGTTGAGTTTGGTAAGTTCTTTATAGATTTTGGATACTAGCCCTTTATCTGTCATTTGCAAATATCTTCTCCCATTCTGTCAGTTGTCTTTTGGTTTTGTAAACTGTTTCCTTTGCTGTGCAAAAGCTTTTTATCCTGATGAAGTCCCAATAGTTAATTTTGCTTTTGTTTCCCTTGCCTTTGGAGACATGTCTAGCACGAATTTGCTGCGGCTGAGGTCGAAGAGGTTGCTGCCTGTGTTCTCCTCTGAGATTCTGATGGATTCCTGTCTCACATTTAGGTCTTTTATCCATTTTGAGTCTCTTTTTGTGGGTGGTATAAGGAAATGGTCCAGTATCATTCTTCTGCATATGTCTGTCCAATTTTCCCAACATCATTTTTTGACAAGTCTTTTTTTCATTGGACATTCTTCCCTGCTTTGTCTAAGATTAATTGACCATAGAGTTGAGGGTCTATTTCTAGGCTCTCTATTCTGTTCCACTGATTTATGTGTCTGTTTTGTGCCGGTACCATACTGTCTTGATGATCACAGCTCTGTTATAGAGCTTGAAGTCCAGAATTGTGATGCCATCAACTTTGGCTTTCTTTTTCAACATTCCTTTGGCTATTCAGGGTCTTTTCTGGTTCCATACAAATTTAAGGATTATTTGTTACAGCTCTGAGAAAAAAGTTGATGGTATTTTGATAGGGATTGCATTAAATGTATAGATTGCTCTAGGTAGCATAGACGTTTTAACAATGTTTGTTCTTCCAATCCACGAGCATGGAATGTTTTTCCATGTTTTTGTGTCTTCCTCAATTTCTTCCCTGAGTGAACTATAGTTCTATAGCTCTGAGTATAGATTCTTTGCCTCTTTGGTTAGGTTTTTTCCTAGGTATCTTATGGTTTTGGGTGCAATTGTAAATGGGACCAACTCCTTAATTTGTCTTCTTCACGCTCATTGTTATTGTATAGAAATGCAACTGATTTCTGTGCATTCTGATTTTATATCCAGATACTTTGCTGAATTCCTGTATGAGTTCTAGCAATTTTGGGTTGCTCAATTATGTTGAGTTTTCAACATACAGTATCATGCCATCTCTTTGCAGTGCTTTTAGCCTTAGAATTTACCCCCCTATGGAACGAACCATCAAAATACTGTATTTTAGGGGCACCTGGGTGGCTCAGTGGGTTAAGCCTCTGTCTTTGGCTCAGGTCATGGTCTCAGGGTCCTGGGATCGAGCCTTGCATAGGGCTCTCTGCTCAGCAGAGAGCCTGCTTCCCCCCTTCCCCACTCTCTGCCTGCTGCTCTGCCTGCTTGTGATCTCTGTCAATTAAATAAATAAAATCTTTAAAAAATACTGTATTTTAAAGTCATTTGAAGTAAGTCTTTTCTCTGAGTGAATATATCACCAACTTGATATAGAATTAAATTTGTTTCAATTTGATTTTGGTTTTCAGGGACTGGCTTGTTTTTTACTTTTTAACCGCCTTTCAAACATGCAAAACATTTACATGGTTCCAAAGGCAACGCTATAAACAAGGTACTTGCAGAGAAGTCTTGTCTCCTAATCACTTTCTTTCTTCCTCCTGTTTAGATAATCACTTTTCCTAGATTCCCACTTATTCTTCTTTAGCTTCCTTTCACAAATATAAGACAAACACATATCCATTCCTCTCTCATTTTCTTATACAAAAATATGTAAGGTTTCCTACACCCTGCTTTTTCACTTAATATAACCTATGAAGACCACTCCTTATCAGGAGACAGAATTTGCCCTTCCTTATTTTCCAGCTACAAGCCATTCCATTTTGTGGACATATCATAGTTGAAACAATCAGCCCCTTCCAATGAACATTCATATTGTTTCCAATCTTTTGTTATTTCGAATAAGGCCATAATGAACAATTCTAATCACATTCCATGGTGTATTTTTGTAACTACTTCTTAGGGATGGATTCCTGCAAGTGGCAGTTCTGCTTTATACCCAGTTTTGCTAATGCCAAATTCCTCTCCATAGGAGGTGCTCCATTTTATATTCCTGTCAGCATTCAGATTTTTTTTTTAAAGATTTTATTTATTTATTTGACAGAGATCACAAGTAGGCAGAGAGGCAGGCAGAGAGGGAGGAGGAAGCAGGCTCCCTGCTGAGCAAAGAGCCCCGATGCAGGGCTTGATCCCAGGACCCTGGGATCATGACCTGAGCTGAAGGCAGAGGCTTTAACCCACTGAGCAACCCAGGCGCCCCAGATTCTTTTAATAAATGTATTTTCTGTTTAATTCAGCCAAAGTTGGCTTCTGTTTCTTACAAATAATAACTCTGCTTGATACACTGTTCTACTTCCTGATAGGACAAGTTTCTAGGTTCTGTCTAACAATATAGTCATGCTGAATTCCCTAATCATTATTTGTAAAACCATCATAAGGTTTTATAATGAGGTACTTATACCCATTTTTCTATATTGTGTCATTTCACTCTGAGTGTCATTTATAAAAAGAAGTAATGTGGCAAAGCTTCATAAAAAACAGGATATTTTCCCAGGGTCTGTTAATTTCTTTAAAGAAAAAAGTTTTGTTTTATTTTGATTAAAAGTATTTTATGGTCATTGTAAAAACTTCACATGATACAGAATATCTACTTTTTTCACAATATTATTAAGATTTATTCATCAGCCTCAAAAGCCAAACCCATCATAAACAGAAACTCCTCATAATCAATCATTTATAAATGGGATCAGATTAATTCCATTAAAACTAAAGTAAAATGTAAGATTCCAACATATTTCATTTAATCAAATTAATACAGTGGCTCCTGGATTGAGGATTATAATACATAAAGTGATTCTGACCTGTGTTTTCTCAAACTGTGGGCCATGATCCATTAGCAGACTGTGAAGCTAATTTGGAGGGCTCTAAGCAGCATCAAATTCAAACAAACAATAAAGTAAACCAAACAGAAAATGGAGTACATCTCATGTAGTAGGAGTAAGTATTGTTTAACACACATAAACACAAATACTTATCTACTGGGTTACTATATTATGTGTGCATATTGTAGCATGTAGTCAAAAGAAGTCTGAGAGGGGCGCCTGGGTGGCTGAGTCATTAACCGTCTGCCTTCAGCTCAGGTCATGATCCCAGGGTCCTGGGATCAAGCCCCGCATTAGGCCCTTGCTCAGCAAGAATCCTGCTTCTTCCTCTCCCATTCCCCCTGCTTTGTTCCCTCTCTTGCTCTGTCTCTTTCTGTCAAATAAATAAATAAAATCTTAAAAACAACAACAAAGAAACCAGATTTGAGAAACATGAACTTATTAAAACTATCTGTTGACCATTTCAATAATAAGAGTAAATCTGACAAAACGTCCAGTTTTAAGAATGTTTTAACGTCCAGTTTTAAGAATGACTTAGAAGCAAACGTGAAGAACCAATTTCTGTATATTTCCAAATGTCCCCTACCTTTGAAATCAGGGAGCGCCCGATCATCCACTAGCAGCATGGGTCGAACCTGCTTCTGCTCTACTAAATTTCTGGCTGCAGTCAGCGAAGTGAATATTTCATCTTCAGAGATATCAAACTCCAATTTTTTCAACCTATCCAGTAGGTCTTGCTTGCTCTCTTTGGTTGTATTGGTCACAAACCTAACCATTACAGAAGCTCCACGCAACCTGGGAAAGTCAAATTCATATGTCAACAAGCAGCTTTTACACTCTACCCCATAAAACCGGATTTACGAGAACTTGCCAGAGGCCAGAAAATGAAGAGTTAGTCACCAAGCCACGTTTTTATGGCCAATAAGCTTGTTTTTGTAACCTATCCAGATTTTTACAAACCATCCGCACCCTGTGGACTGCTTCATCTTCGAAGGCTGCACCGTCTAACTGTAAAAGCTATGTATGTCTACCTCTCTGAAGGCCTTCTGAAACTGAGTTTTACCTCAGGGTTTTAGTAAAGAAATGAAAAAAACAAAACAAAACAAAACAAAGTTTAGTAACCACTGTACTCACAGATTATGAGAAAGTTATCTTAGAGATTATCTACTAGTGCAGCCTTCTCCTAAAGACGGGACAACAGAAGCCAGGAGTTAAGTGACTGCTCAGCTCTGCACAGAAGGGGGTCAGTAGAGCCCATGGGCAACTCAGATCTATGTTGTGGTACAACTTCTGAACTCCTATGTGAAGAGAACAGGGGACACTTCAGGATGCTTATTCCTTCTTAGCAGTCAATCAGAGTCGGGCTAAACCCTCAATATGTTACTAAGTTAATCAACAGAAACTATCTGGAATGCTCAAACAAACATTCCAGTTGTACAGACCGAAATGTGTTTTCCCCTTGAACTACCTACATACAGGATTGTTTTGATTCGGTGATCTGCTCCTGGAACCTAAACTGGCAACCAGAGAGAGAATTCGTGATAGTCTAGCTTTCTTTAAAAATGGAAATGATTTTCTTAGCCTTAAAGTATTTTAATCTAAAATCCACAAATAATTTTAATTTAACCACAATTTAAAATTTTGTATCGATACCCTGTTGCTTTTTATTTTATGCCTCTCTCGAATGGACACAAAACATAACAGCACTAATAACAATTTAAAACAAGCAAGCAAATAAATCAGAAAAAACATTTGTAAGTATTCACCCAAAGAACATTAAATACATTTTCTTGATTAAATGGTTCACTGTAATCATGATTATCTGTAAAATATCTGTGTGATAGCTTTTCTGAAAAACACATTAAATTTGGTGATTTATCTCTCAAAAGAAACTGATGACTTCAACATAACTACCATCAACATAATTAAAAATGAACCAGTACAAGAACGGAAATTACCACAGCACTTTTTTTTTTTTTAAAGATTTTATTTATTTACTTGACAGAGAGAGAGAGAGAGATCACAAGCAGGCAGAGAGAGAGGGGGAAGCAGGCTCCCCGCAGAGCAGAGAGCCCGATGTGGGGCTCGATCCCAGGACCAAGATCATGACCTGAGCCGAAGGCAGAGGCTTTAACCCACTGAGCCACCCAGGCGCCCCACCACATCACTTTTAATGAGGATTTTTAAAAACACTTTTCTTTTGACTAGTCCTTCAACTTCCCTTAGTTTCTTTTGTATGCACAGGAACCCAAACCAGCAGTGACAAGAGTACAGTGATTTCTTTGGGATGGAAAGCCTGCAGTGTGTAGACTCTCGTCCCCCAAGACTGGCAGGCTCACAGCTTATTGGGCAACTTAGAAATGTTGTCCACTGTTCACCAGAAAGAAATTCTTTGGATCCATAGTAGAAAGCTCATCATCAAAGCAGCAAAAGCTCTTACCCAGTAGAATGGACTAACAACAGGCATCCATTTCCCTAGAAATCCTACCTAGGAGAGAACTGTGTCAAGAGAAAAGTCCAACCCTGCAATGGGTTTTCTTTTGGTTTTAAACATGTCCACCTCTAACAGATACCATAATTCTAACGAAAATGATAGATTCCAACTGAAGTCTACCAGATACAAAAGCCTCTTCATGTTTACTGATTCCCCCAATGGGAAATAAGCTCCTTGAGAGTCCAAAGTCTGTGTCACTCTTTTGCTCTACTACCTGGCCCTGTGACCCTGGTCACAATATTTTCTGAATTAACAGCATACTATGAATATTTTCAGGTTGGAAAATGATAAGCACCACAGGCTCACTACTACCTGATTTCTGAAAACTTCCCTAAATTATTTCAGGATGAAAGTACTTAGTAACATTATTAGTTGTGTCATATCGATGAGTATCTTTTTCAGAACTCAGAAGCAAACACATTCAGTTCACTTTAATAAACTTTTCCCATGTCCCCAGTTTGTATGCAGACTTGTGTTAAGTACTGTGATTGATACATCAGAAATAGAAGAGCTCAGTCAGACAGCCGGAGATGCTTCTGGAAGCACCAGCACGATGGCTGCCCAAGGAGAACCCCAAGTCCAGTTCAAACTTGTGTTGGCGGGCGATGGTAGTACCGGAAAAACTATGTTCATGAAACATCATCAGAGTGAATTTGAGAAGTATGGAGCCACCCTGGGTGTTGAGGTCTATCCCTTTGTGTTCCATACCAACAGAGGACCTACTAAGTTCAACGTATGGGATACGGCTCTTCAGGAGAAATCTGGTGGGCTGAGAGATGGCTGTGACATCCAAGCCCAGGGTGCCACTGTAATATCTGATGTAACGCCAAGGGTTACTTACAAGAATGTGCCTAACTGGCATAGAGATCTGGTTCGAGGGTGTGAAAACAGGCCCAATGTGCTGTGTGGGTGTGTGGCCATGTCTGCTGCTGCCCTACCAGTGGCAGACACGGAGCCAGCTCAGCCAGCACAGGAAGAGCACGAGCTGGAGGCTGCTCAGACACCTGCTCCCCGGGGTGAGGACGGTGACCCAAGAAGGGTAGCTGGAGTCCAGCGGCAGAAGTCTAGTTCTAGGATAACTGTCCTATGATGTCCGTGGTGCAGCATGTCTGCCACTTTATGATACAGCCGAGCTGGACACGTGCTTAGCCTTTGGATGCTGAAGGAGATGAATGGGCTTTGGAGTCAATGTGGTCATTTAAAAAAGTACCTTCATTTTTTGGACCTGCGTATTTAGCTGTTTTGGAACGCAACCGTTCCCTCCTGAGTTTCAGATATGAGACTGCTCTAATCCCATCACAATATCCAGTGGCGTAATCTCGTCTGTCACCGTCATTCCCACTCCTCTTCATTTAGAATCAGAGTAAAGTTGCATTTCAAATTAAAAAAAGAGAGAGAAATGTAAGCTAGTCTCTAGCCTTCAAAAGCATTATATGTAGTTGACAGAAAGCAATATAAAATTTCAAGCTTCTTACTAAATTTTACTCAAGCAGTTGGCACACTCAATGCTAAATTTTGGGTGAAGGGAGTGGGCAGAACTATGCCTTTGTGCATGTGTGTGTTTCATTTTGTGATTCCAGGATTCATTTGTGATTTTCCAATGGGTATTTATTCCATACTTTAGAATCTTAAGTTTTTATTCCCAAATTTACATTACTTAGATAAAGACACACACACACACACACACACACACACACACACACAAAGAACAAAAGCACTAGATCAAAAGGCCAAACCTAATAAAGGTTTAGGAAACAGTGTTTGGAGGATTTTACAGTGCATACATCTTCTAGCTAAACCCAAGGCAGTTCCTGTATTATGGTAAGCTGGTGAAATGCCATCGTAAGGCCATCCATTTAGCTAATGATCTGCCTTGGTAAAACGGCACTTACAAACATATTTGTCAGCTGAACCTGGAGAATAGCTTGCCTTTTAAGAGCTTCCTGGGCGCCTGGCACAGCTGCATCTTCAACGTGAAGTGTGCCATTGAGATCCACCAAAACAGCTTTTAACGCACGGCGTGCTGCCATCCTTCATTCCCTAGGAGAGAGCAAATGAAATTAAAAATACAGTTTAGGAAACAATGGACAATTAAAAACTGGTAAGACTTCAAAAATATCATTCATATCCAGAAAAATACTGCTTCATGTTAAGCTGATTCTTTTAGAAAAAAAAATGTTTTAAAAAATAAAAAAAATCTAAAATTTGATCCATAGAACTTCTACAATGTTTGATTTTTCTTTAAAAAAAAAAAATCTTGAATTAAAACCATAGGAAGGGGAATACTAAAAGAGAAGTTACTATTTACTTTCAGATTTCTTAAAATAATTCTTTGGTGGAACAATTCATTCAAAAACTTATTTTAAATATAAGCAAATGTACTCTGAAGAATGGGTGAATGGAAGCCTTAAATCATGGGCAAAATCTTTTTCATCTTTTGCTATATATGATGAAAGTGCTGAGGGGCACCTGGGTGGCTCACTCGGTTCAGTGTCCGACTCTTGACTTTGGCTCAGGTCATGATCTCAGGGTCGAGAGAGAGAGCCATGTCAGGCTCCGGTGGAGTCTGCTTGAGATTCTCTCCCCTTCTTCCTCTGCCCCTCCCTCTGCTTACATGCATGTATGCGCACTCTCTTTCTATACATTAAGTAAATTTTTAAAATCTTAAAAAAGAAAGGAAGGAAGGAAGGAAGGAAGGAAGGAAAGAAGGAAGGAAATGTTCTAATTGCCCATCTCCAGCATGATAGCCTGATATGGTATATGTAATCAAGGAGCTATCAGTGTTTACAGGTCACCGAGAAGGAAATTTCAAGCTATAAAGTAATTTTAGTCAGGAGATGTTTCCCCTACCTTAACCAGATTCAACTTTCCTTCTGCATATTTTCCCCTTTAAAATTTTCTTATTATGAGCTACATCATATATACAGTGGCATATAAGGTATACGTACTGTTTAAAAATTACAGAGTGGATAAGAACAGTAGGGAAACTAAAGAGAAGAGAATGGGACTTCATTTTTAGTTTTTTTAAGCTTATTCATTTTTTTCTTCCATTTTTGTTTTTATAATAATAAAATACTTCAGACATACAAACAAGTATAAAAGACATCACTCTATAATGTCCCCTGTGTAGCTCCTTTGTAGTCAACTGCTCTCCCCTCCACCAACTCCTGGCAACCACTGGTATTCTGTCCCTAGTTCCTTTTCAGAATGTCCTATCAATAAAATCATAGAATATGTAGCCTGTTGGGGGTGGGCTTCTTCTTTTACCTAGCAAAATGCATTTAAGATCCATCCATGTTTTTGCTAGAATCAATAAAGCTCATTCCTCTTGCTACTGAATAGTACCCCACAATGTGGATATACCACAGTTTATCCATTCTCCGGTTGAATTTTACCTTGGTCTGTCTGGTTTTCAGTGATCCTGAATAAAGCAGTTATAAACATTCATGCACAGGTTTTTGCGTTAAGAGAAGTTTTCCATTTATTTGGGTAAATACCTAGGAGTGTGGTTGCTGGATCCTTTGGTAAGCCCAAGTTTCACCTTCAAAGGATGAAAAATGTAGGTAATAAAGATTTAAAAGATTATGTTACAGCGCTGAAACCAATTCCAAAAAAGGATTCCAAATATATCTTGAGCAATGGCAGAAACTTGTAATCTCCTATGCTGACTCCTTTGAAAAGTAAATACGTATTTGTGGATGAATAAACTCTGGTATGCTTCTTTGCTTAAAAAACAACAACAACAACAACAACAACAACAACAACAACAAAACCAACTCATTCTTGGAATTGGGCTTCCTATAATATAGCTGGCTAAGTGACCAAATTAATGCTCCAAATGAAACCTAACAATACTAGATTACACACACACACAAACACACACCCCTTGAATGACACAGGGGTTAGGGATGCTGACCCCTGCACAGTTGGAAATCCAAGTATAATTTCTGACTCCACCAAAACTTAACTGCTTTAATGGCCTGCTGTTGACTGGAAGCCTCATGGATAACACAAGCACTAGATTAACACATATTTTGTATGTTGTATGTATTGTATGCTGTATTTTTACAATAAAGTAAGCTAGAGAAAGGAAATGTTAAGAAAATTGTAAGGAAGAGAAAATACATTTACGGTATTATTGTACTTATTGAAAAAAAAAATCATATAAGTGGACCAGCACAGTTCAAACACATGCTGTTCAAGGGTGCATATGTATGTATAGGATACATGTATATGTGTGTGTGCGCGCGCGCGCGTGTGTAAAGCTTCAAGGAACAAGGAAGAAAATAAGATTTCTTAGATCTGAATAAAGCAACAAACCAGAAGATGAGCAGAATACCCACAGCCTGTTTTGGCCCTAAGAGCATCTGCCCACACTAGGCTACCTTGAGTCCCCCAACTCCTTGGCCCCTTCAGGGAATACAAAATAAAACTCAGAGCCCACCTGAAGAGAGAGATCCTCCCAATCTAAGTGCAGAGGCTTCCCTGTAAGGATGAGCCAGAAATAAACCACCACTGGCACTCCCACTCCACCATCTCAGGCGACTACAAGAAAATCAACTGCTATGAAACTTGGACCAAAGAGTGAAAGGAAGAAAATGCTACAGAGAATATGGAAACATAAGCCAGCCCTGGACCCAGTCTGCAGACTAAACTCACATCATCGAAGGTAAGTCCTCAGAGAACCTTCAAGATTTTAATTAGAATGACCTTGACTAGCAGGTGCCTGCTGAAGCAAATGCAAATCCTCCCCAGGATATGACTTTCAGCCCAAACAGCAAAGAAATCCCACAAATAAAATCAAATAAAATTCTAAGCACAATGAGCATGTAACCTAAAGAAACAAGGACCATAAGGGAGAAGAACCTGCAGAAACAACCGAGCATAAAGCCGTCCTGTAAGGGCTCCTGTGGTAATGTGAGTATCAGACAAATCCACTGGATAAGGCCTGCAAGTTTAACGAATAAAAGACTGAAAATCTGTGCAAAACAGGTTGAGAAAGCCCAATGCATTCCAAGCAAAATAAAAAGAAGTCCATTATCTAAACTGCTGTATACTGAAAGCAAAGAAAAGATCCTGAAGGCAGCCACAGGAAAAGATACATTACTTTCAAAGACCCAAGAGACTGATTGATAGCTGACTTCACACTAGCAACGATGACAACCAAAACACATTAGAATAATATTTTCAGTGTGCTGAAAGAAAATAACTGCCCATCTAGTAACATATAATAAACAATTCATTACCAAATTGGGGTTATCCTACTAATACTAGGTTGGTTTAAATTAGAAAACCAATCACTGTATTTACCACATTAACAAATGAATTAAGTAAAATAATGTCTGATCATGTTAATTCATGCAGAAAAAGCATTTGATAAAATTCAGCACCTATACATACTAAAATACTCTAAGCAACATAAAAATGGCAGGCAACTTCTACAAGCTGACAAAGACTAACTACAAAAGCCTACAGCCAACATTAGACTTATCAGTAATACTGGAAACATCTCTTCAGAGATAATAACACAAGGATGTTACTATGACCACTTCCACTTAACAGTGTAAATCATATCCTAGTTAGTGTAGTCAGGCAAGAAAGACAAGGTGTAAGGACTGGAAAAGAGAAAACTATTGCTATTCATACATGTTATGAGTGTATATACAAAAATTCAAGATGCTGAACCAGCAGGAAAGTATAGCAATTTATATTAAAAATCATTATCATTTCTATGTCACTAAAAATATTTAGAAAACAAATTTAAAAATATTACTTGCAACAGTGTCATAAAATGTAAAGTCACCAGGAAAGTCTAATGATGTTGACATTTTTAGGTCAAAATTTAAAAACTTCAATGAAAGCCACAAAAAATGAGTTAAATATACAGATGTACCATTTTCATGGATTAAAAGACCCAATATTGTAAAGATGTCAGTTTTCCCTGTAATGATCTATAGGCTCAGGGCAATTTAAGTCATTATCTCAAAGAGCGTTTTGTGGAACTTGGTAAGCTGATTCTAAAAGCTAGACATCAGTGCAAATGGCCAAAGATAGCCAACATACTTCAGCCAAGACTGGAGAAGAAAAAGAAGGTGGGACCTTGGTTTACCTAATATACAGATTTGATTAATGAGGTCTCATAATTAGTTAAGATGTTGTGGTATTAGCACATAAAGAGACAAAGTAATCCCCGGAACAGAAGAGAGAATCCAGAAAAAGACCCCCATCCCATGTGTAGAAACCGGACATGACAGAGGTAATTCCAGATACATGAAGAAAGAATGATGTGGTCAATAAAATGGTGTCAGAAAAAATTAAATTGCACTCCCATATAACACCACACACAATTTTTTCCCAGGTAGATTAAACGACTGCATGTTTACGGCAAAACTGTAAAACTTTTAGATAGAATATCTTCATGACTTGAGAATAGGAATGGCTTTTTTTTAAGCTACAAAAAGCACCGGGGAGCCTGGGTGGCTCAGTCGGTTAAGCTTTTGCCTTCAGCTCAGGTCATGATCCCAGTGTCCTGGGATCGAGCCCCACATAGGGCTCCCTCCTCAGCGGAAAGCCTGCTATTCCCTCTCCCACTCCCCCTGCTTGTGTTCCCTCTCTTGCTGTGTCTCTCTCTGTCAAATAAGTAATAAATAAAATCTTAAAAAAAAAAAAAAGATAAAAAGCACCAACCATAAAGGAAAAGGCAGATAAATTCAATTACTGGAAAAGAGTTTTTTAAAACTACTGGAAAGAGAGAAACAGAGTGAAAACATACAAAATGAAAAACAAATTTCCAGCACATGTGAGGAAGGACCAAAATCCAGAAAATATAAACTGTAAATATTAAGACAAACAACCCAGTAGGAAAATGGGCAACATCTGTACTCGATAAAAAATGTTAACTCTGAAGGTAATTAAAGAACAAAATATAAACAAGACTGGACAGACAACAAAAGAATTGTAGTTAAAAAAAAAAAACAACAACAAAGAAAAAACCTGTACAGCTAGAGCCAGCAAATGGTCATAATAAATACTGATAATATTAATCCTTATTGAAGTATCCATATAGGCTTAATGTTACCAAAGCATTTAAAAAGGCTATTTTTGCTTTCAACAGTTCCACAGAACATAACTTTTAAATCCTAAAATGCTCTCTGGAGCATTACATATCTGAGAGTGACTGACAGGTCTAGAAGAAAAAAAAAAACAAAAAAAAACTGAGATGCCCCACTCAAACCTCAAAACACACTTCCTTAATTAGCCCCAGCAGAGGCCATGGCCACTTCTGCCATGACCTCGTCTGAACCTCTCTAATACTTGTTAGTCGATCTACAGGTCAGTATTTGATAAAATATAATTGTAAAATACATGTGTCACCTCCAAAGAACAGGCAAAGGCTTCGGAAGTAGTCCATGTCCTTTTTCTTGGGTCCATGTCCCACCATCTCCCACAGTTTGGAAAGGTTATAGGAGATAGAACTTAGAAAGTCATCAACAGCTGATAATGAACGGCCCATATTCAGTGCAGAGAAGAAGAGTAAATTCTCTCTCATGCCAAAAGGAACTCTTCAAGATACTTCAGAAGGATATCTCCCCTTGAATATCATGGTGCATCTCAGGACAGCAAGCCCTCTTTACCCTCCAAGCTGCTCTTTCCTACAATCCTTATGGGGGAATGGCCATCCCAGCAATCCTGATGTAGCCACCAGCCTCTCCCACTCCTTCCTCCCACTCAATCAAATGCCAAGTCACCTCAGCTCTGCCTCCTTTGAATCCACTCACCTCTCCATAATTACTAAAACGATCTTGGTTTTTTTTTTTTTAAAGATTTTATTTATTTATTTAACAGACAGATCACAAGCAGGCAGAGAGGCAGACAGAGAGAGAGGGGGAAAGCAGGCTCCCTGCCGAGCAGAGAGCCCGATGCGGGGCTCGATCCCAGGACCCTGGGACCATGACCTGAGCCAAAGGCAGAGGCTTTAACCCACTGAGCCACCCAGGCGCCCCATAAAACGATATTGGTTTTGAAACCACCTCTCATCTAGCCTATTTCAACAACTCCCTAAGTGTCTTCTCTGCTTCAAATCTTATTTCTAGCCCCAAATCCGCTACCTGAAGCGAAGTAGTTTAGTAAAGTCCAAGAACTAAGGGGCTGCACATGGCTGGGTTTGAATGTCAACTCACTAGCTGTGTGAATGTGGGCAAGTTTCTTAACCTTTCAGCCTCAGGCTCTTCATTACTAAAGTAGAAAGAATTACACCCAACTCTAAGGGTTGACAGGTCAATTACAGAAAGTAACATGTGCTGTGAACACTGCTGCGCACACAAAAAGGCTGGGTTATGTATATGGGGGTGGGGGGGAATCTGAGGCACATGTCAAGGCCAACAGAAATCACAGGATACATATGACACAAAGTCCTAAAGCCTGAGAATAAATGGAGAATTTGAGAAAACGTTTTCTATCAAACCAAGTCTATACTTTGGCATATCATTCAAATCTTGTATAAATATTTAAGACAAGAGTTTTCAACAAACCATTTTCTTCTGCAAAGTTGGGGCTTTTCAGAATATGCCTTCTAGACCTCCTGGGGAATACAAATTCTCTTTTCTTCCCTATGCACTTCTGGTGGAAAAGTCTGGAACCACAGTATGCACTCCATAAATGACACTAGTTTTCAGTCACTATCCAGTTAAAAATCTTCCAGTTGGGGGCGCCTGGGTGGCTCAGTCCTTAAGCGACTGCCTCAGGATCAGGTCAAGGTCCCAGGGTCCTGGGATCCAGTCCCACACGGGGCTGCCAGCTCCGCGGGATGCCTGCTTCTCCTCTCCCACTCTCCCTGCTTGTGTTCCCTCTCCTCTGTCTCTGCCAATAAGTAAATCCTTAACAAAAAAAAAAAAAAAAAAAAAATCTTCCAGTTGCTCTGCACTGACCGCTGGGTAAAGTCTCAACAATGAACCCTGCTGTGAGGAGCCCTGGGTTCACCTCTCCAACCCCTTCCCCTCTACTCCCACGCCAAAGTTCCACAGCATTGCAGGCGGCTACCAGCCCTATACTCTACCTCCCTCATCGCTGGACTTTTGTCTGGAAATCCTTTTGTTTTCTGACTTCTACCACACCTGTCCCCTACATCCTCCTTTCCCCTGGACAACTGCAGTTCATAGGTCTCAGATTAGCATCCTTTCCTCTGGCATTCCCGAGTGCAACTCCTTTTCGCCCAGGGACGGGCCAGGAGCTCCTAGCTTGCTCCTATTATTCCACTTATCACTCGGTCCAAAGTGTTAAGCTCACTGAGGAAAGGAGCTGTTGTGGCCTTTTCCGCGGCACTACTGACCGCTCAGTATGGGCTTGTGAGTTAACCCAATTCATGAATCCCGGTCTCAGTTGACTGGGAGGATTCCAGGAACACAGGTCTTTCAGCACTAACAACTGCGAGCTCCTCCATCTCCTGGATGGAGGGCCTCAGGACTGGTCACTGCACTCCGCCCCACTGCAAAATCCAGGACCTGGCCAGACTGACCGGAAGGGACACCAGCTTCGAAAAACAGTCCAGGGGGCAGGTCCCGTGGGATGTCTACCACACCAGAATCGCGATGCGCTCCAGGACTACGAAGAGCCCCGCACCACCATTGCCCCGAAGCCCCGCGGCCCCACAAAAGCGCTCGGAGCCCCACTTCGCGCATGCGCGCCGGCCCGGCGGCCACGGGAACCGCCCCCGCCCGGAGGGGTGGGACCGTCATTTCGCAGCGCGAGCGCGGGTTGGTCCGCGGCCCAGGAGGGGGGTGGCCTGGAGACGCAACCAGCATTTCACAAAGAAACGCAGCCTTTGCACGGGTGGGAGGTCGCCCGTCCCGGAGCGGCTCCTCACCCCTGCTCCGCACGCCGTCCTCAGCAAAAGCCCCGCTACCAGGAAAGTCAGCACAGCCCTGCCGTCCGCAACGTCCTCGAGACCAGTCCAAGCAGGCAAGCAGCCGCTAGACGCCGGAAACTGGGCCGACAGCCGCACCGGAAGTCCCGCCTCTCCCCCGTCCAACTCCGCCCCATCCGCCCCTGGCTGCTTCCGGGTTGCGGGCCCGCACTCTAGAGTGTAGGCTTGCTCCTTGCCACGTTTGAGGTGTAAAAATTGTTCTTAAGACCCGCTCCCTGAAGGGCACGGCCTGCTTAGCCCCAGGTGTAGGAGGATAAACGAAACGTCTGTCTTCGCTCAGCAGCTCTTTACCCTTCTGCAGCCCCATTGGTGAACCAAGTACTGAGTACCTTTCTTTGCTGCCACCCTCCCTCGCTGCACCGCTTCATGCTCGTTCTCGAGGTGTAACTTGGAAGTTAACTCCGTGATGCTTTCTGTGAAATACCCGATCTCTTAAGTCATTTTATGCTTTGCTACTTTAATAGCATCTGGCATTTGTAGCTGTGTTAACCCCTACCTCAGGCAACGAGGTTCCTCTTTTCCTACATCAGCTGTTCCAAAACCTTAAGCTGCCAACTCTCCCATCCTGCCTCTCATTAGAGACCAACCCCAGGCCTTGCCTGTCGTCCCTAGTGGAGCAGAATCTTGAGGTGCGTGTAACCATCTCCCTCACTGCTCCTCTCCCACGCACCTACTGGGAGTCTCTGATCCACATTGGCTGCCTTTAAATAAGTAAAACTTGAGTGCAGATGTGGGTATCTTATGCATTCTCTATGAAAACGAGTAAATGAAAAACTTTCTGGAGCAGTCTGACTTAACAGGATACACACTCTGGTTTGCACATATGGAACTCCTTGCCTGGGTGCTGCCAGAACCCATCCAACACGCCCTCTGCCTAGTGCTGCAGCCTGCTATGTTGTGAGCTAGAACACTTTCTTCTGGACTAGTGACCCTCTACTTTTCCTCCCCACTCGGTCTGAAGGTTGTTTTTGTTTTATTCATATTTGTTAAGTCTATTTTCCATGTAAGGGCATACTTGGTTAAAGGAAAAGGAATCTGCTCCTAGTTTCCCCTTCAGAACTAAGAGCTGCGAACTAAAACAGCACTGAAGGATTTTAAGCAAGTGCATAATGTTGACTTGCATTTTCCTAAATACTCTGGCTGCAGTATGAAGAATGGATGGGAGAGGGACCAAATTGTACATGAGACCAGGTAAGCTACTGCAGGGCTACAAGAGCAATGATTGCACTAAATTGTGGGGAAACAAAGCAGACAAATTCAAGAGATCTTAGGAGGTAAAATAGAAATGGTTAGAGATTAAATTGGTAAGGGAGAGGTAGGCATCAAGATAACTACTAAGGGGGCACCTAGAGGGCTCAGTCGTTAAGCACCTGCCTTCAGCTCAGGTCATGACCCCAGAGTCCTGGGATGGAGCCCATTGGGCTCCCTGCTCAGCGGGAAGCCTGCTTCTCCCTCTCCCACTCCCCCTGCTTGTGTTCACTCTCTCGCTGTGTCTCTTTCTGTGAAATAAATAATTAAAAAAAAAAAAAGGTAACTACTGAGTTTTAGGCTTGGGCAGTTTGGTAGTGTAAGTGATGGTGTCAGTGACTAAATGTGGCATGATTAAACAGGACTAATGGCTTCCTTCTTGAAAGACTCGAGTGATTTTGCTTGCCAAAGGCCAAGATGAGTAAAGAGGGATGGGATGTCTAAACAGATGGTGACTAAACTCATGGAGTGAGCATTGCATAATGTATAGAACTGTCAAATCGCTATGTTATACACCTGAAATTAACATTACACACCAACTATACTTCAATACTGAAAAAAAATTTTCAGTTATTGAAAAAAAAGGAAAAAGGAGGGGCTGAATTTGGAAAAGATAAAGATGGTACTAAAACACAAAGGGGGAGTAAAGAAAGCAGTGTGAGAACTCAAACAAAAACAGCAGGATTCCAAAACTCACCTTGAGCAAATACCCTTGGACACTGGCCATTATGTGTCTGAAGTCCTTGCACAGAATGTTTTCACAATATCTGGCATCTAACGACCAAACAGGGGCCAAGAAAAATTTCAGCAAAAAATAATCCCATTTTGCTTAGTATCAAAATTTTATTGGTAATAACTTTGAAACTATGAGGCACCGAGAAAGCAATTTATTTCACTGAAAACATTTACTTTGGGAGAACATCTCTTTGGTTGAGGTACACCTAGCATCAAAGGTTAGTGACCTGGAAAAGGTATACATATATAAATCACCTGGAGAAGATTTCTGTTCTGAAATAATTCTTGACCAGTTTTACAGATGAAACAACAGAAAACAACTGAGGTCTTAGGAAGTTTGTCTTAAGTCACAATAAAAGGTTTTGCTCGGCATGTTACAAATATCCTGCCTCCCACTCTTTTTACTACTCAAATATATTGCTTTCTCTCAAGTCCCTTGATATAAGTACATATACACTCAAGTGATAGCATATACCAGTAGACCACAGTTCACACTTCCTCCTCTAAAGCAGGTTTTTTTTTTTTTTTAAGATACTCATTTTAACTATGTTTTCAAAAACTTGGGAGTTTTGTGGAAGGACCTTAGAAAGGATGACAAGAGTGGGGTGGAGGTTAAACAATGGGCCTTTGCATCCCTGTTTCAACTAGAAATAAGTAGACTGCTCTCATCTGTTTCAAATAGTGGGGCATTATAGTTCTGTGTTATCCCTTTTGAAATCTGGTTCTACCATAAACAATCAATACTTGAAAACCACTGTATTTAACTAAGGATCAGGGTATACATTTGGTTAATATCTACACTTGAGCCAGGATCCTTCATGAGATAGGTCAGAGGCATATAGACACAAGGTCAGCACACATTAGGACCATAAACATCATGGATATTTGGAATCTAGAATGATCACCAATTGTTAACGAGAATGGCTATGGGGGAAGATGTGGGCAGGCAAGCAGACACTGAAGTTACTGTCAACTAAGTAAGATACCGTGGTTACCAAATCTCTGCTCTGGGGACATCAGGGCTAACTTGCGAAAGCTTACAGACCTTCAGGCCTCCCTTCAGGCACACTGAAGCTAGCATTGTGTTAAGTGGCCTCTAGAGATGACAGATTTTGAGATTCAGTGCTCAGTTTCCTCAGACCCACTTTGCTACACAATACTCTGATCCTGCCATGCTACGACTGCTCTCCACTGGAGTCTGAACTCGGACAGTATCCTGCCACTAAATGAGCATGAAGGTGTGCTGTGAAGTTTTACAAGAAAATGGCATCAGGCCAAGGTCTCTTTTCTTTCCTTTAAAAATTCCATATGATCTGTGGAGAAATGGGAGTGCTCTCAATTAACTGCATGTATTGAACCTGTTCAGTGACTTAAACTTGGATGCATGAATCGGATCTTTGTAAGGCCAAAGAACACTGCTTCTAGCTGCCAAATATGTTAGTTACTCACATGAGCCAGATAATCAACTAAGAATCCCTGGTACATCTCTTTGGTTCAGCTGCAAGCCTGCAGCCCAGAGATCATCTATCTCTAATTCAGGCATGGCCAATAGGCATTCAGTACCTGCTCCAAAGTTTTAGAAGTAACCGTAGTCATGGAATAAAAGTTGCTCTTGAGTCTCTTTGATGTAATCAGCAATTCAGTTAACTCACTGAAGGAAAAAAAGTGACTGTAATGTTTACTTTCATTAAATCTGTGCTCTGTGATTTTATAGCAAAGAAATGAGATTAATTCAATTAACACTGACAGGTAAGGTACAAAAACAAGTACTTGACTTGGAAATTTAACTTTATTTACAAATGTTCTCCTATAAACAAAGATGCCAATCTATTCCTTTAAACTATTATAACTGGTAGTTTTCAGAAAAAAACATTTACATAATTTTAATCTTCCTGCATAAACTGTATTATGGGATGAGCAAATATGGAATGGTCTAAGAATATAAAAACAAAACGAAAACTTATCTAACATGAATCTCTACTGACAGAATAAAAAATTAAGAATTACACCCCTTAACGTGCTACTCCAGAAAACGGAAATGTCATAATCTAGGGGAGAGGTAAATGCTTCACAATAGTCTTCTTACATAGCACGGTTTAATTGTGACTGTTTAGGATAGCTCTTACAGGCTAATATTTAGGCTGATTTTAAAAAATAAAATATTATTGTAAAAAGGGCACAGACTTTTCTACACAGATTTTTCTACCAATGGAAATATGTAGATAGTGATCTGACCTCATCATTCAGGCCAATTAATAAAATAACAAACACATGAAAGAACTTAAAAACACAACCTATGTGACTGACTTACAAAATTAGAATTCTCCCTGAAGTCAGAGAGTATTGCTCATAGTTGCTATAAATTTGAACTTGTCATAGTCGAAATGATACATAGACAAAATAAAGAGTTCAAAGTAAAACTATCCAAATTACTGAGTTATCATTTTATATGTAGTAATTGCTTTAAAAAAAATCCTTTAAATTTATCTAGGAAGATAATCACTCTCACATCATAGCTAAGTCACAAAGAACTTCAAAACTTTGAAAAAAAATTTATCCCTGAGAAAGAAGTGAGAGAGAAAAATCTCTAAAAACACACAAGTGACAGTCCTATACCCTCTGAACAATCTTTACCATAAGATGAACTTTTATTAACAATTAGCAATCAAATGTATTCCAGTTCTGGATAGTTACTGCCTCTGATGACCTAAACTTTTTGTAATGAAACTGTAAGTGCAACATTTTTTTAAAAATCAGATAAATAGGGACTCTGGTTTTATTGTCAGATTTACATTTTTGTCAAGTGCAAGGACGACCAGCGATAACATGTATATTCCAATAATGACCGAAGTAATAACTTCTGCTGGCATCTCTTCTTCTGAGTCTCCATTTCCCCCACTGTTCTTCACCCAAATAATAAAAGTAATACAATGGCAACTGAATTTATGATTATCAATGGCACTGTAAAGAAAAAAAAAAGTTTGTTACTATAAGGAAAAGAACAGGAAAAAACTAAGTAATAGTTATTAGCATCCAGGAAGGATGAAAATATCAAACAATATGTCA